TGTATGTTATGTAGTCATAATATAAACTATGTAACATTTTGTTTTTTGTATAGGTCTTAATCAGCTCGATTCGTTTTAGCATGAGGAAATGGAAAGGAAATGATAACGCCCCAAGCGATGATCTGACGGAAATAGAGGGGTGGGAATTGAGTCGATAACTTGAAAACTAGTTTAAGTTCGATGAAGAAAACAAAAGTCATTATCATATAAAAAAAGAAATAAAAATATATAGCTTGCTCTTTCGCCCTCATGGAAGCTAGTGAAATGTGAAGTATTATTTATTTTATTTCTAGTTTGCCATTTATTTTTTACGTCTTAACGTGTAATTAAAATAAAATTCATAAAAATTGAAATTGACCTTTTTTGGATAAGCTCACGATTTTATGAAAATGAGCGCTGTATATTGCGTTTTACCATATAAAAACAAAGCTTTCGATAACTTATTTACTGGGACTGTGAAGTTCTCATTTACATAATAAAACAATCTATTCCTTTGTTGTAAGAAAAATACACAATACCTAAATATATTACTATGGTTTGTGGTATTACTTTATTATCGAATATGATAATGACTGTCGCGCCGTCACTTAATAAAATCATAGAAATAAGAAGCTTACATTTGCTTATAGAAGGATTCATTAGAGAAAATTATACCATTTTTATTAGTTACGCTTAAAAATCTGTAGAGATAGAGGACATGCTAGTTAGGCAAAGGTTTGCGACGGCAATATGATATAGGTCCTCTCTCTCGCTTTCCACGAAGTTCATCTTTCCAGGTTTAAACAATCAGACTGCATGTTTTATTTGGCAGGCTTTTACTTCACAGCATTGGTCTATCGGGGTGTGTACATTTTCTTTTAACGTCGACAAAACCATGTCAATAACTTTTTCCGCGTTATCAGAATCATAACGCGGTCAAATTTTCAAAGTACTACTATATCGCTCACTGAATAGTACAGTGGCACAACTCAAAAACCATAATTTTGAGAAACGCTCTCCGAAGTGAAAATGTAATGTATTTATAATTATGAAAATCATTTTTTTTAGCACAACAGTTAAATCGTTTGTATTATATTATTACTGAAAAGTTTATTATTTTTTCTTTAAATTATCTGTGGGATGCCACCACAATAATGTGGCGTTATCTCGAAATAATGGTTTTTGAGTTGTGCCACTGTACTATTCAGTGAGCGATATGGGACTTTCAACGTCCAGTTTACGTTACAAGATTACTAACATTCTAAAATACACGCCGTTCAAATTGTAAAACATAAATTATTGTCACCAATTATAATAATCGATTTTACGTTATTATCGATAAATTCCTTCAAAGTTTCCATCAAGTTCGTCCTTGTTTAACATAAATATTGCCTAAAGCAAACTAATTTGCGCTCCCAGTTCAATTTGTACTTAAATCTTTATCAGAATATATTTTATGACGCACCGCTCGCACGATCGTCGCATGTCGTGTAACACATTTGACTCCAGGATACGTTCGCTCCAAATTATGTTCCGTGTACACCGCCTGGCGTACCCTCGTTTGATGTTTATTGCATCATGTCACGCCGTTAAGTTTTATTTTTCACATAAACTTTATATTGACCTTTTTGTTTGATGATCCTACAATTGGCGCTACAATTTGACATGCTTATACAAGCATAGTATCTAATTGATATTCTAATAATGATAAGATTTGTGATGATTTTAGAATCGCCATTTCTCTGCAGTTTTTGCTTCTGCAGATTTTTTTCGTATCGCATGTTATTGTTTTGTTTATTTGTTATCGTTTTACAATTAACATATCCTATTAATATTATAAAGGCGAAAGTTTGTAAGTATGGATGTATGGATGTTTGTTACTCTTTCACGAAAAAACTACTGGACGGATTTGGATAAAACTTTACAGCAATATAGGTTATACATCAGAATAACACATAGGGTACTTTTTACTGGGAAAACTTCTCACTCCCACGGGATACCGACTTCCACGCGGACGAAGTCGCGGGCGTCCACTAGTGTGTGCATATATTCTCTTTAGAATATTTCTCGTGCCGTAAGTTGAGGGGTGATAAGTTATTTTCTATATTTAGCTCGGTGCATTGAAACTGGGCTATCGGATCAGTAAGGCGTGCCTTTAGACTCAGATTCACCTGCAATGTTCACTCATAGTGATTTCCTTATTCATGATCTTGCATCACAGTAACGCATTTGCGTATAGTGTGTCGGAGAAATGCACGTCTATTATTTTTCACGTTGAGTACTCTTACTTCAGTATTTGCTACTCTTTTGCAAGTTTGAAGATAGTACAAAACGTTGTGTCGATATCTAGAGGGACACTTTATTCTTTTGTTGATGTAGTTTCTAAATGTGAAATTCCAATGTTGTTTCCAGTACTATGCTTGAAAGGACCTGTGCTTTAGTAGATACTGTGTCGTTCGGTGCTCATGTATTGAATTGTGTCGGTAAATTGCTATCTGTTAGGTGGTGGTCGTTTATTATGAATTTTGCATTTACAATGATATCTTAACAATATTTGAATAAATTCCCGAGATACCCAAGCTACCGAAGACTGGCGAATCCTTCATGCACTTATTACTTTCGTTGTGTTACTTTGATAATAATTTATTACTAAGAAACAAAACAAATTCAAATATCGTAAGCCATTTTTCAAATGTAATCGTGATTGTCGAGGAGCAAACTTTAATGTAGTAACTTCGTATTGTATTGAAAACATTTGTGTTGCGATGTTCAATTGTTCAATGAATGAACGCGGTAGACTTGGGAACATTGATTATATTTAACGAGGGTTCTCTAATTTACGTCATAGCTTTGTCGTGTTACTGTTTTGTACGAATTTCAAAAGTAATTTTTACATATCAAATACATATTATTAACATAGGCATCAAAGTAACCATATAAAGTAGATGTATCAAACGTTTCACTCAAGTCACAAGGTCTCTCAATTAATGTTTTTCTGGAATGCGTTTACAATAACATTTGTTAAACACAAGCTATTAGGATTCCATCTTAATTAAATATTCTTTTTAAGTCGCTTTCCGCCTCTGCTTTTCTCTTCTTTCAGCTTTTGAAACCTCCATAACCCTGCAACGTTTTTGAGGTTTTACTTTTTCAGACGTAAACTTATATTAATGCCTCTATACACTATATTTACACTATTTCTCCTTTATTACTTATTAATAATAACTTATTAATAACGTAACAGTTTAGTAGTAGCCGTGCCACTGTCCATTGACCTCAAACGTCCATTAGACGTTACTGTGAACATACACTTGGATCGCGGTAATACATGAGTCAGAACATGACACCGGTAGCTAATTACTGATTCCCGGAGACGTTCTTGTGACGACCGACGTGTTGGCATGTTCGTATGTTTGCTATTTGTATGGTAAAGTGTTTAGACTTCTTTCATCGCCGCGAATTATTATCTGAGGAATATTATGCTCGGTTATGTTACCGTACAGCACGTAATAAAATTGTTACACATAAATATTAGTTTTATTTTAGACTAGCTTTCCGCCAGCGGCTTCGCTCTTGTATAATACATAAAAACCTTCCTTTTGAATCACTCTATCTATGAAAAAAAAAACGCATCAAAATCCGTTGCGAAGTTTTAAAGATTTAAGCATACAATGGGACAGAGAAAGCTAATTTGGTTTTATACTATGTAGTGATGAATTAATAATTAAATAAAGGTTTGTTTAGAGTAGAACTTCATATTTTCACTTATTAAAAGCTAAGGCTTACCTAACTTTTTACTCTCCCTCACTCAGCGTTGAATGAATCGTGAATGAATTTAAAATGTGTGTACGCACCTAATTTGCGAAGACCACTTTCAAGGTGTTGATTGATTGATTTTTTAGTTTTATCTTAAGTTTTTTTTAATATTAATGCTAGTAAGTTAGATATTTCTAAACGGGCTAAGGAAAAGAAACTGTTTCGCATTGATCGATATGGGTTGGCGTTTCCTATTTCTGTAGCACAAATACTTGAGCTTCTTACCTTGGGCCGAGCGTCATGGGCATTGTCAAAGCAAAGTTCACCGATCGTAGAATTCGCGTAGATGTACGCTCGTATATAGGGTTCCCTTGGTGTTATATTTTTATTTGATTAACGATTTTTAATTAAACTATATTTTCTGCTTTTGTACTCTAATGTTCGTATTATAATGAAGCTTCTAGTGACAAATCTAAATTCAATTGTTACAACTGTTCTTTATAATAAACTTTTTTATGTCTTTAATAGCAAAAAATTTCTTTGAGAAATAGGAGCGATCCAAAAACACAACCTAAAATAACGAATGTCCTAAGAAATCGAGCTATTTTCCACGCACACACCACACAGCCACAAGCAATTTCACATACATATATGTATATGTGACAGGCGTCCCTTTTTTGCGGTATACATTTTCTCTGGTATTGAACAGTCGAAACCATATCAGGTTATTTAAAACTCGCAAACTTCTTAAATTAATTATGAACCCTTAGTAAGTTGGATCTCAATCAATCTTATACTCGACATAAGATTGATTATGAAAATTTTAGATGTTATGGTTAGCTTATTGCTGTAGGTGGTATGTAAGTAATAAATATCAGGGTTCGTAGTTTAGATAATTATCCATAGTTACTGGCAACAATTATTTAAATATGAATGCTGTCATATTTAAATAAACAATTATTTTATTTGTTTTAATTATACAAACAAAATAAACAAAAAAAAAAAATCTTCAAATCACATTGAACAGAGATTAAATTTTTTTTATATAAAAAGGAGGCCTTAATTTTTTTTTGTTGATCCTTTTTAGACAATTTTATATACCAGAAAAAATATATTTGATAGTTGTTTAAATTTCTTTAGTAACAAGTTATAAAGTAAAAGAGTTTGTGTAGTGTTTTATAATTATCATCGATAATTATCACGTTAAACCATGTTAAATATACTTAATGTCCGATTTTTATTTATTTCATCTGTTTCTATTACAGTTGTGCGGTTGAGGAGCGCTGGTCACCATGGGTAAACTACTCTCCAAGATCTTCGGGAATAAGGAGATGAGGATATTGATGCTGGGACTGGATGCTGCCGGCAAGACTAGTATCCTTATTAAAATTACCAATACTCTGTCTGATATATTGTGACTGATAATATCTAAAATTAATGAATAAATGATTGAGAAATGAACGTTTAAAATTTAGGTTAGAAAGTAGGTAGGAATCTACATCATTATGAAGTTGACGAACTGTACCATAGGTAGAGGGGAAGGTAGGGTAGGTAGAGTTGCCAGGGGTATTGGTGGTGGCCCAGTGTCTCGACCCCCGTCTCATCCCTCCAAGTGAGGGTATACTATAGGGTTTTTAGTGGGTAGGTCTCTGTTGGTACATTGAGCGAATACCCTCTGGATGAAGTCTCACATAACATCTCATCCATCGCCAGGTAGTAGGGTATGCTGTAAGATTTTTTCCTGCAATAAAAAGTTAGGGTTGCCAAATACACAAAATATTTGGGCGAAATTTAAAAAGTGGATCAACCTGGACAATAGTCGATATTTTTTTTCTATAATGTGTTCGGAATACAAGAATCATTTAAACTTATAAATATTCAACAAAATATTTTTTTTGACACTAATTTGAAAAATATTTCGTTTTGAAAACTTGAAAAATAAAATTATATTATTTTTTATAAAATACATATGGCTTTAAATTAGCTACATAAAAAACAACTTTCATTATGACAGCTATAAACATAAACGCACAAATAACAAAGATATTACAAAGATTGCCCAAACGCCCATACGTTTTTCGCTCCCTTAGCACCGTATGACGTCACTTAGTGCCTTGAATTTGTATGGACCAAACACAGCACCATATCACCAAAACTAACTGCAGACGTACTGTTACTTCTACAATATTTCTTAGATATTATTGAACTATTTATTTATAAAATAAAAAAAGTTGTTACCTGCTGAAATCGCAAGAAAACAATTACTCTGTTTTGTAAGTTAGTCTTGGCTCGTTTGATGATTTTATAAATATTTAGTGAGGCTGAATGTATGACCAGATTGTGTTGCGTGTGTGTAATTTATAAAAGCTTGTCCGAGTGAGGAGCCTTAAATTGTTCAGTGGCCAGATCAATTGAATAGATCACCTTTACTGATGATAGTACTAAACAAATTTTGAAATTTTAAATTTTCCTAATAAAGCTTGTTATTTTTTAAAGGCCAAAGTGTTATATCGATAAATGCAGTGTGTGTCTATTGCCGACCTACGGCCAACCTAATTAGAAATATTAATAAAAGCAATAACTTAAGAAAGAAACAATAACTCGCAAGTGTATATGAAAAAAAAAAATGTTGAATAAACAAGAGTAGTTACTGTTGAATCGTTTATTTTCAGATTTTTTATTTATTCCTGTTCACACATCAAATGTAAAAAGTGAACACCTAAATGGTTCATTCATAATTTTTTTTTGTTCTTCTTAATACGTCGTGTTCTCTGCATATATTATTATAAGTGGTATACCACCTGTAAATTTGAATGTCGTGCGACAGTTTTCCTCGTAATAGATGATAATTCCATTAGAAAACCTTTCAAGTGCATAAATAAGTACACAAAGCACCACATCGGGCTCTGTACTCTTAAAATCGTTAATCGATTATATCGACTCTTGAAAGCAAACACGTAGTAGTCACCTGCAAATCCAAAATTGTTCTTCAGAGCAAAATAACTTCTTTTTAATACAAAAATTTATTTCCGTATTAATCGAATAAGGATATCATATTTATTTGTATGTTGTGGGAGGAGAATTCACGAGGGTCTAGCCCCGATGAATCATTACATAAGGTTAGTTAGGATGAGAAATGTACTCATCCTACCCACTCTTGACGAGTGGCAGCTTAGTGGGTTTGCGCGCCTACTGGCAGTGCATGCTCCTCGTCCGGGACTGAAGTGTTTCTGCGCTTGCAAGTGAAGGGTCGAAACGGGGGCGAACTGCGCGAGAAGTGGTCCCATTTCCTGACCATCGTGGTGCACCATCTGGGTGGAGAGAGCGTTTGGTGTGTATGCTCCCGCTAATTGACTAGCCCCTTCGTGGCTCGCGCTTGGGAAAGCGGGGTATGCAGTGATGCATTTCTCCCGGCCAAAAAAAGGACTGAGCACGATAAAGGTGTTGATTTATCGAAAATCGCTTTATAGAGTGCCATTCCAGGGGTGCGAGCTAAATTTAACCATATGATCGCCGTAACACCGCTAATATGTAGTATTCTATGGCTAGATGGGAGTTATGGATAGAGAATTACGCAATTGCACCGCTGGTCACTTAAATAGCGAAATTCCGCAGTCTATTTCGTAATTAATGTGTAATTAATATGAAGAAGAATAATAAATTGGAGTTTTACAATAAGATAGTCTACCTATATCCATCTATAACAGATTCAGATTATAATGTCAGATTTTTCAGACACGATAATTTAAACGGCTCATCTAGATAAAGCCGCGAGCAATGATTCGAAGAAAAAGAAAAGAATTTCGACAAGAAAAATCTTGTAGCACTAATACTACATGATACACTTGTAGTACTAATGCTCTAAAGATGGTCCAATAATCAGTCGTTTCTGAATATACTCATTTAAAGTCCTAAATATAGTATACGTTTAGCAGTTAAGTGGCTTATATAAACTTCGTATAATTATTACGTAGACCAAGAATAATAATAATAATAATAATAATAATAATAATTTAGAGCAGATCAGGGGGTTACTTGAAGAGGCGATTCTCGAATTTCGCGAGCTTCCACTTGAGGAGAGGCCGAAGATCCCGAGGATACCCCTAAGTCGTAAAAATCGGGATGTCGTTGAGGCAGTAAGCCAAATGCTTCTTCCATACTTGGAAGAGAGCGGCAGTCTCAGTGATACCAACTCGATCCTATTTGGCGCCGCATTGGCGGTCTGTCGATTCATCGGCGCCAAAGTGCCCGCTGGGAGAGCTGAACGGCATACCAATGCCCGGCACAGCGAGACTCCGGCGTGGCGTAAGAGGATTGAGAAACGTATTGCTGAGACCAGAGTCCTCATCGGCAAACTGATTAGTTTCAGGTCAGGCAATACGAGGCTGAGGGTGATGCGTTTCGTACACATGGCGATGGCGGGGATAGATTTCAGTCTTGCAGACCCCACCTTAATGCGAAAAGTGTCGGAGCGCGTCGATGACCTGAAACAGAAAATTGCGGCTTGGGGAAGTCGGATACGGCGGTACTCGGAGAGAGCGGCAAGGTTTCGCCAGAATCGTCTCTTTGGGAGTGACCAAAAGAAGTTTTATCGTACATGGGAGACACGAGCTGGCCCCTCCACTGGCCAAGGACCGAATGTCACAGATGTCATTGCCTTTTGGCGGAACATCTGGTCCCGGCCTGTGGAGCACATAGAGGGCGAATGGATGGCGCCTATAGAGGAAGCGTGTGCATCGATAGACGCGATGAACCCCATCACCATAGAGTCGGATGACGTGTTGGCTGCGGTCCGTAAAGCTCCGAACTGGAAAACTCCAGGGATTGACGGACTGCACCACTACTGGTTGAAGAGTTTCCGCTCATGCCACGCATTCCTGGCACGCCAATTCCAAGACGCCCTAGAACAGCAAAGTCTCCCAAACTTCTTAACAACTGGGGTCACTCACTTAGCTCCAAAGTCCACCAATACCGCGGATCCATCACAATACCGCCCCATAACGTGCTTGTGTACCACCTACAAAGCACTGACATCCATTCTGAAGGCTAAGATTGATGCTCACGTTGAGCAAAATCATATCATGGTGGACACTCAGAATGGATGCAGGGGCGGGAGCCGCGGTTCAAAGGAGCTTCTCCTGATCGATGCGGTCGTGGCCCAACAGGTCAAACGCAACCGACGCAACTTCTCTGCAGCCTGGATAGACTATAAAAAAGCGTTTGACTCGGTTCCCCACACGTGGTTGAAGAGGGTCCTCGAGCTGTACAAGATCGATAGTACAGTTCGAAACTTCCTCGAGACCTGTATGGGGCAGTGGAGTACGCAGCTTAGTCTGTTCGGGGTGCAGCTGTCGGATGCGGAAGACCGAATAAAAATTGAGAGGGGTATATTCCAGGGCGATTGTCTGAGTCCACTTTGGTTTTGCCTGTCCCTAAATCCGCTTAGCACTTTGCTGGCTAAACCAGGGACGGGTTTTCAGTTGAAGAGAGGATTGTTCAAAATATCTCACCTCTTCTACATGGATGATCTCAAGTTGCTTGCCCCGAATGCTCAGGGGCTGGCGGAGTTGCTGAAAATCACAAAGGATTTCGGTAGCTCCATCAGCATGGAGTTTGGGCTGGACAAGTGTGCGGTTATCCATGTGGATAGAGGTCGGATAAGTGATTCCACCCAAGTGGACCTACCGGATGGATCCACCATCCGTACCCTCTCCGAAACTGATACATACCGGTATCTGGGTATGTCACAAAATCTAGGTGTGCATATGGCGGACGTGAAACAATCCGTTAAGGAGGCCTTTTTGGGACGCCTAACTAAGGTACTTGAAAGCTACCTGTCAAGCGTCAACAAAGTCAGGGCCATTAATGGTTGGGTCATGCCAGTCCTAATGTACACCTTTGGCATACTCAGATGGACTCAGACCGAATTGGACGCCCTGGATCGGAAAGTCCGCACAACTTTGACACTCCATAGGATGCACCACCCGAGATCGTCAGTGATGAGGCTGTATAGCCCGAGGAAGAGTGGCGGTCGTGGGCTGCTCAGTGCGAAAACCCTGCACAACCGCGAGATACATAGTCTCCGTAATTACTTCCTGGCGAAAGCGGAATCAAGTGAGTTGCATAGAGATGTCAAAGCATGTGATGTAGGACTAACCCCTCTCTCTTTGGCCACCGAGGAATGGCGAGAACCGGCAGTACTTAGCACCACTGACCGAGAGGCTGTTTGGAGGGAGAAGGAGTTGCACGGTAGATTCTATAAGGCGCTACACGAGCGTCACGTGGATCCGAGAGCCTCCGTGCATTGGCTGCGCTTCGGAGACCTCTTTGGGGAAACCGAAGGTTTTGTCTGTGCAATACAGGACCAGGTCATTATGACCCGAAACTACCGGAAGTATATCCTGAAGGATGGGACAGAGGACGTTTGTAGAGCCTGTCACCAGCCCGGTGAGTCACTCAGGCATATTACTTCCGGTTGTCCTGTACTGGCTAATACCGAGTATTTGCACAGGCATGACCAAGCAGCCAAAATACTCCATCTCGAGCTAGCCTTCAAATACGGCCTCATAGGCGAAAAGGTGCCGTACTATAAGTATGTGCCGGAGCCAGTTCTTGAAAACGACCGCGCTCGATTGTACTGGGACCGGTCCATCATTACGGACAGGACTGTTCCTGCGAACAAGCCTGATATCGTACTGATGGACCGGGCGGAATCTCGGGTGTTCGTAGTGGATGTCACCGTCCCATTCGATGAAAACCTCGTGAAAGCCGAATCAGATAAAAAACTTAAATATCTGAACCTGGCGCACGAGGTTACCGATATGTGGCGAGTGTCATCCACTGAGATCATCCCAGTCGTAGTGTCAACGAATGGCCTAGTCCCAACTTCTCTTCACGACCATCTGAAGAGGTTGGGACTCCGTGACGGACCAATGATTGCGAGGCTCCAGCGGGCGATCTTGCTCGATAACGCAAGGATCGTCCGCCGTTTTCTCTCTTTGTCGCCCTGACCCCCGGCCGTCTGGCCTCCTCTGCCAGGGGGAATCCTCCCACCCCTCGAATCGTCGAGGGGTCGGGAAGAATAAATTATAAATATAGGAAAAATAATAATAATAATCTTTATTTTATTTTCTTCTACATTTCGAGCAAGAATAAACTTGATCTATAAATAGAATGTTAAGTATGTACGTGCACATTTAAAATGCCCCTTTTTTACTGAGCGTTGTTGTTCACCTACTAACCTAGATTTTAGAATAAAATTGAAGTTTATCAATATATATGTTTAGACCAATTGAATTCAGATCATATTAGGCACTCATTATAATGTCACAGTTACTTATGAATGCCGGCACGCGATCAATAATTTATAAATAGCTACTCTGAAGTTTTAGGTATTTGGTATAAATCTGTTCACTTATCTTTGGGACAGGCGTTATAAGTATGTAATAGAATTTAGAAGAACAAGAAATACAAAAAACAGTACCGTTACCGAGATTCGGATTTTGTATGTTCGTTTATTTCCACCTCGTGGTTTGAATCAAAAATATAAATTAAACAATTCTAAAGTGTATACAAAATATATATATGTTCTGAGGAAGATTATGGAAGAAAATGAAACAAGATTGTTTAAGGAATGATATGTACTTAAGGGAGACAATATGTAATCACAGCTATAACAGTAACAATGAAAAAGGAAGATATACTGCCACAGACTATGTAACTGCGTTGCCATCAGAAAGTTTGAGGCTTAGCAAGGACAAGCGACAGATTCAAAAAAGCTTAACTATTGTGCCTTAAAGTTGTATTTTCTCCTAATGGAGGTTATTTAACATATTAGGATAAACAAGAGTTAGGAAACCAAAGTAGTTGATGTGGCGACGCCATTTCCAGTATCATTGAACGTTGTCGAATACAGCTAGTAGGATCTTTGTTTAAGTCCTGATTGTGCAAACTCCTCTGTTGCCAAAGTCTTAAGGAGATACTTTTCCACGAAAGAAGTTGATGTGGCGTCGCCATTTCCAAAGTGTCGTTGAACGTTGTCGAATACAGCGAGCAAACAGGGATCTGTGATCGAGTTCTGATTGTACAAACTCCTCTGTTTATGATTACCAAAACAGAATAGTTCATGTTCTAATGTATAATCGTAATGGCGTTTGCTTTTCATTAATGATGTGCATCAAGTGTGTTCGTAGCCACAAATCGTGAGCTTAAAAATAGATTGAAAACAAAATCGTTTGCTGGTAATTACCGTTCCCTTTGAACTTTTGCCAAATCATTAACAATTTACTGGCGCTGAATGTACCTTTATGTCATTAGTGTATCGTTAGTTGTACACAGGCCTGATTCTTAACCTCATATAAGATGAGGGCTTAGATCGAGTTTAGCGATTTGACATCGTTTAATATTTCTATGAAGTTTTGTGTAATAGTTACCATTTCAGGGATGCTTTATCGTTATCGATCTCTCGTTGCTAGCGAATATCGGTAGGGTACTCGTAACAGACTCTGAAAAGACTTAATTTGAAACTTGATTACGTCTAAATCTACTGAAATAGGTTTCATGTGGATTTTTCACAGTTCGATGGCGCAGTGGCTAGCGCGCTCGGTCTGTGATACGGTTGTTAACTTACTTTCGCAATGGCCGGTCAAAACATGTGCTTTGGATAACCAATTTTTGGTCACCCATCCCGTGGCAAACCCTTGCAAAAGTTGCTTAACTACAACGATCGCGAGTCGCGGCGATTATCCACTATGCTACCGAGTTACTTATTCAGATATATATTAATTAAAACATTAAATGATTAATATTGTTTTTGTCTTACTATGTCCCGTATTCCGTATGTTTTAGTGTTGATTATAAGGCTCCAAACACATGGCGTATTTTAAACGCGTAGATGACATACGCGTGTCAACAACACTTCAAACGAGATTTGAAGGCAACTTTAAACCAAGCAACCGCACGGATTGACCGTGAAACGTCTTCTGCGCGTATACGAGCAGATACAGTGATACAAACACGCAGCGCACAATAAAATATCATTGCAACTGCGGTGTGAACTCTTCTGGCCCTATGTACGCGCATCACATGCGCATCTTACGTTTTACGCGCGTTCGAAACTAATATTCGTAGTTCGTTCTTCTAAAACTGACTGACCGGTGGAAGTAAATAAATTCGTAGCGTTCTTAATCGTACCTCGGTTTATTCCAGAATGATCGATTCAGTACCATCATTACGTATTTTTTTATTATCGAGTTACCTAAACTACGTAAACTAAAAACGCAAAAATCAGCAACTACAGCGCAGAAAACGCGCGTTCCTGCGAAGCACGTTTTCTGCACGTTTAAATGCTTCATGTGATGGGGGCCTTATGTGCTTCACTGTAAGTACTTTGAATAGAAACCATGATTTCCTAACCAGTCCATCAGCTATTTTATATAAATTAAAATTAGGCCAGTCAGTCACAACGATACCAACAGTCGGTTTCAACGTGGAAACTGTTACTTATAAGAATGTCAAATTCAACGTTTGGGACGTCGGCGGACAGGACAAGATACGACCACTTTGGAGGCATTACTACACAGGTCAGTTTAAATTTTATATTATATATCTATATCTTAACGCCGGATACTCTTCTTAATTCTCCACCTCTTCGACTCTCATTACTCATTTTACTTTTATAACTTATTCATATAATTATTGAAAAGAGGTAAAAAAAAGATATTATATTATTTCGTCAGTTAGATAAGAAAAAAACATTGTGGAAGAATATTAGATACGTATTTTTTTGCTTTAATTTAAACAAGAAATGGCTAAGATAATAGGCATTAAAGTTGAGGAGTGGGGGCTCGCAACGTCACAGTTTTGTAGAAAATGTACAAAAGCGTGACCTCATGAGACATAATGAACTCAATGTATCGCCGTAATTTATAGATTACGCAAAAAAAATAAAATATACGTATTTAATATTCTTCAATAATATACCTGACGGACAAACAAAATGGTCGTCATCCTTATTGTGACATTGATTAGTTTTAATACGTTTTTTATTAGTTATTTTGGTACCCAATTAAAGTAGAAATGTATTTTATCTCTCCTTTTATTCATATACGTAAAGTTCTGTTCAGTCGTGTAAAAATTTTCCGGCCCACAATCGCAGTATATCACGGAGAAAATATGTTGCATAACGAAATGTATGATTTGATGCACTTTGCTAATGATAATCAGTAATTTTACTGATTGGTCAGGTTAGTGTGATGTTCTTTTAAATTCATGTCACTTTGTTATGCGTTATCGTTTGGATTTCGAAAATTCTCTCAAAAAATAGAGCAGTTAACAATCAAATATAGCATAAACGCCCTTGTTTCCAGGTACTCAAGGTTTAATATTCGTGGTTGACTGCGCGGACCGCGACCGCATCGACGAGGCCCGTCAAGAGTTGCACAGAATCATCAACGATCGGGAGATGCGAGATGCCATCATACTTATATTTGCCAATAAGCAAGACTTGCCTGATGGTGAGTTGATTTCATAATCATACTAACTTTCCGCCCGCGGCTTCGACCGTTTGAAATTCGGTAGTTTTAACCCATTTAAACCTATTTTTTGCGATAAAAACTATTCAATGTCCTTTCCCAAGGTCCACAGTACTTGTGTACCAAACATTAAAAATTGGTTTAGCAGATTAGGTGTGAAAATAAAACAGACACGCACAGAATTACTTGCGCATTCATAATATTAGTATTTTCTTTTCTATCCATTTCATACTTGATTCCTTGCGGGCTGGCAAGATTTGTGATAGTGATCGCTCAGGAAGAAAAACAAGAGTAATATTTTTGAATTGCTCAAAAAAATACTACTGTTAACATATTAGTTAATTGATCGGGAATAGTGTCTGTTAAATATTTTAATCTTTGTTATTTTAATTTATACTTTACTAGCACTTCGCCAGCGGTTTGCCCCGCGTGGTCTAGTTTTCATATGCGCGTTCTCTTCGATCTAATCTAATCTTATGTGTAGATTATATTTTTATTCATTAACGAAGCTCATAAAACCGCAAATGCATATATCAATATGCAATGAATCAATCAATTAATCTGTCCTTATCTATATAAATTAAAATGAAGAGACCTGCTGGACCAATTAGGTTATTTTGTTATAATGTTTGTTGAAGTCCAATGAAGGTGGTAAAATTAGAAACAAATACCTACAACAGTTTTCTCATACATATTTGGTGGAAAGAACTCGTTAGTTGGATGGTATGTTATATAAAATAAAGTTCTATCGCCTATTCACTCGTGTCTGAGGCGATGTTTTCATCCCGTTTTCAGCAATAGACAAAGTATATCATGAAAAATGAACGCTTTTTGTACCAAATATGTTATTTCCACCAAATATGTATGATGATCTACTGGGAGCAGAGAACTAAGTTTTATGTTTATTGAAACATATCTATGCTAAGCATTTATCATTAAGGGTAATAATAATAAGAGCAAATCAGGTTAATTTTCCTCATAATAACAATAATCGTGCTCGACTGTTCTGGGATCGGTGCATCATTACAGATAAGATAGTTCCTGTCAATAAGCCTGACATTGTACTGATGGACCGGGCGGAATCAAGTGTGTTCGTAGTTGACGTCACTATCCCTTTTGGCGAAAACCCAATGAAAGTCGAATCAGACAAAAAAAATGAAATATGTGAACCTTGGCGCATGAGGTTACCGATGTGGCGAGTTGCGAAATCTTGCCAGTTGTAGAATTTTTAAATATGCCTGTATATATATTTTCAGCGATGAAGCCACACGAGATACAGGAGAAACTCGGTCTGACGCGTATACGCGACCGCAACTGGTACGTGCAGCCGTCGTGCGCCACCTCCGGCGACGGGCTGTACGAGGGGCTCACGTGGCTCACCAGCAATCACAAATTATGAGCTGCGGAGTAGGCGGCGCGCCCGCCTCCACGACACGGTATGATACTTATTGATTAGAGATGCGCCGAATATTCGCCTAATTATTCGGCTTCGGTCCGAGTATTTCTAGTCGCCTAATTATTCGGTTTATTCGGTCTAAAAGACGAAACTTTTTATGTAAGATTTATGCTGTATTGCATAAATTCAAATAATGTAATAAAATAAACTTTATTTTCAAACCTATTTATATGGCAAAAGAATGAAATGGTCAAACCGGTTATTCGGTTATTCGCTGAAACCACTGTTCCGCCCATATCTACTATTAATATAGTTTTTAGTGTCGTTGAGTTTGCAGTCGAGTGATGTAGGTATCTATTGTGAGTGCATCTATTTCTTTGCACCGTCTCCATAAAATAATTGCGCGTGCTAGGGGAAATAATACTATATTTCAGATTTAACTCCCAAAATCTTGAACTCGTACTCTTCTTAACCTAAAGTGGTGTATATAAAGTGTATGTGATAGAATAACGCATTGTCACAAATTTACCTTCTCATACATTATTTGTATTAAAATCGTTTTCATGACCTATGTTTTATTTTATGAACACTTTATATGCCATACTTAATATTAAAAAACTTATCCCTTCTGTAAAATCCAAGTATCCCATCCAATGTAAATCGATGGAGATATGTGAAATAACAGATTCTATATATCCCTACCGGTAGCTAAAATTGGAAAAAAAATCCTAGTATTCCTACTAGTTGCGCACACGCACACACACACGCACGCACACACGCACTCACGCACGCACGCATACACAAGCACGCATGCACACAAATTGCTTTAAAAACCTGTTTGATTATAAGGAAGAGCAGGGCTTCTCAACACAGGTATCTTTGGATTACTTTCGAGAGAAGCCCCGGCAACTGTATTGTTAAGATTTTAAAGTAATATAGCAATTATTTTTTTTTTTTAGTGGGGATTTCTTAGTAGGGATATTTGGAATAGGGGAAGAGAATCGGGCGTCACAAAGGACGGTCTTTACAAACGTAATTCGTTTTTACTCACATTTTTATTTTATCGGAATCGAATAAGTAATTTTCCTTTTAACGAAACAAAATACGCCTTCCAAAAGATATCACCTAAATATTAAGATGATATTTTATGGCATGGCCCATTTCAGCTAAAACACAAAGTTTTTGCATGGTGACATCGTTTTTATCTTCTTGAATAGGGATGATGACTGGGTAAAAAAAATGTAATTCTATTTAGTCCGTCAGTCAGATAATAGAAAAATATTAGATACGTATTTTTTTTTAACTTCAATTTAACAAGAAATAGCTTAGATAACAGGGATTAAAGTTGAGGAGTGGGGGCTCGCTACGTCACAGTTGAGTAGAAAACGTACTCTAACGTGACGTCATGCGAAATTTTAACTCAATGTAACGCCGTAATTTTATGATTAGGAAAAAAATAAAAAAAATACGTGTTTAATATTTTTTAACACTCTACCTGACGGACAAACAAACAAAAACTATTGTGAACCAATTTCTATCAATTTAGCTGTTTCGCCGCGACTGCGTTAAGTATAGCCTATGTTCGTCGCGTATCATGTAGCTTCCCGTAGATGAAAGATTGAAGGATAGAACCGACTTCAAACTTTTAAAAAAGTGATAAATACCTACTTATATCGAAAGCGACTTATTTTATTAAGCTTATCATATCATTTAATTAATAACCTACAGAACACCTCCGCCAGACTTCAATAGCATTTTATTGCTTTTGATACAAGTAAATATCACTTTTTAAAGTTTTAAATCGGTTCTACGTTTTATAAAAAGTTTTTTATAGTTATAAAACAATATTCCCACTTATTATAATAACATATAGTTTTTCGGTCTCATATTATGAGCGGATGCGGTCTGTTCCAGGTGGGGATATCGATGCCATTTAATTTAAGTAATCAGCGCCCACGCCGTTGTATCACTATACATACATGCTGCCACGAGAACCAGTGTCGTGTGACGTGTCGAACTAGTGGCTGTGCACAGACTAACGGACAGTGGAAAACGGGACTACTCAGACTAGTTAGCGAAACAAGTGAACAAGTTTATTGTCACACAAACTAAAAAAAAAAGAATCAATTATTCCATTATTTAATTTAATAATTAAAAGAAAATCTAGAAAGTTTGTTGTATCGAAATGTTTTGATTATTTTTTTATGTTATTTAAAAGAAACAATGATTACATAGAGTAAATGAGTTTTTTATTATTATTAATAATTTAAATTTTTGTATGATAGGTAGAAATTTGAAGTTTCCAATGCAAATAGATCAGATTTGAATGAACGCTTGAATGTGTGTATGCAATTTTGATTGTTAAAATTACGTAATGTAACAGCTTGATGCACGCCAGCAAAATTTAATTATATAGAATTAGCACTTTGACTCTTATCATAGTATGCAAGTGTGTTTTATATGTGAACTGTAAAACGATTCCTTTCTTGCAATCAATTTAAGTAAAATATTTATTTCCCACATAATTAAAAGAAGTTCTCGTGAAATTGTAAGTCGTTTATAGCATCCATTGAATAGATTTTTTTATATTTAGTTTACCTACATCTGTCTACTATTATAACAGTCGAAGTACAATGCGCATTAATAGAATACATTCGTGTCAATTTCCTATGTTATGTATATACAGGTTTACAATAATTTACTTATTTACCTTCACTTACAATGTTTACCGTTTTTTTTTTGTAACTCCGAAGTCAGTTTATTGTTGCGGAATTTAATGATTATATATCATACTTTATTTACTTATGTTATATAACTTGTCAAAGCTCATTTCATATACTGTGAATTTTAATGTGTTATAATGATATGTGGGTAGGATCAAATCAGAGCAGGCCGAAAATGGAGCACTGTGTTTACGATGAAATGGAAAATTAAGAATGGGTTTAATTGTTGTTGTCGAGAGATGGCACTAGTATTATGATTTTGTAACAATGAAAATGTCCGTTTTCATTTATTGTGATGTGTTCTCCTTTTATAGAGCATTGTTTATTAATGTAAATTTGTTTTTATTCAGTTTATTCACGTGCATTTTAACTATTCCAAAATATCTTTGTATAAATTTAAAGGGGATATTACTTTTTCGGATCAATTTGAATTTCGAATTAAATCATTAGCATCAACTTATTCTAATATTATAATGACAAAACGTATACGTACCTGTTGTAATAAGTTATCATTATAAATAGTTTCATTGATAAATAATTTAATAAGATACTAGCGCCATCTATTGACAAAATGAATAAAACTGCAACGTTCCACCGAACTCTTGTCTTGATATCGATTTATATTCAAAAAATTGTCGTAACCTAACACGTTTGCGACTTAGGGGTCCTAATAATCGATACTTGATACCGAACACGTAAAATACCAGTATACTTTTTATATGTGTAGCGCTCCTAGCGGTATTTTTCAAAAAATACAAATTCATACAAATTTTTAACGTTTTCAATATTGAGTATCGACTGTGCTTGAACTTTATGGCGATTATAAATATCTTTGTCAGTTGATTAAATTTTGAATACAACATTCCTTGTAGTTGCTTCCTCTCCTGTTCATGTTCATTAACCGGTAACCGAATCTTATATTTGGTGATGTAAATCTTCGTTTACGTAGATTAGACCTACCAATTTCGATGATGACTTGATTATAATTTAAAATCAACTTATTTAAATGTTGATAAGGTATAAAATGCGATGGATTAGGTCTCCATCTCACTCATACTCGGACTACAGACGCGTGAATCACCCAATTGTGCTTTGCTTGCGGTCGATACTTGCCGCGATTAAAATTTGGATTTCTGTATATCCGTGAGCGAAATTATTTGTATTTTACCGTACGCGGCTTAGCATTCGATGTGATTACGTTATGGTTAAATCGGGGACCATACTGATTATTGTTCTGTAAAAAATTTCGGTTGAATTACTTCTAAATATAAAAAAAAGCTTACAAGTTTCATACAAGCTCTGAATGAAAACGATAAGGTCCTATATAGTTAAAAGCATCTCATTTCTAAGTCCGGAAATCATTGTAATAATGTCAGATGTAATTGTGTTTCGCTTCATTTTTTTTATTTTTTATTAAGAATTGTCTATAAGTGAGGTTCAAGAATGGAGCTCGGTACTATTTTTTTATTTGTTTAATCTCACCTGTATTTTGTGATAATTATATATATATTTTTTCTTGTAACTTATGCATTGTAACAGTGATGTGGTGCGTTATAGTAACGAATTGTAAAAAATAACTTCGTTGAAATATATGAATTGAAAAATACTCTATTAAAATCACTGGTTTCAGGGGTACTGTTAACTCAAAATGAGTATCGAAGTGTGTAGATCATGGGCCAGACCTTAAAACTTTATGGAATATTAAATAATTTCTAACAAAAAAAATACACCTATTACCTTAGGGATTAACGTCTTGAACAATATAGTTGGATCTTTCAAACAAAATAACAATATGAATCGTTTGATCAATTTATTTTTCCGTAATTGTTAAGCTAAGTTTCTATTTGAGATTCTGTGCCTGGTCCACTCTGGAACACTTGCGACAGTATCCTTTAAATATTTGAGACAATTATTTAGACAATTATTTGTTATTTATTAAAAAAAACCTTTTAGTTGAAATTAGAATTGAGTATCGATTGAGTGTACAGTTGTAAGTTGTTCGGTTTCTAAAGAGTTTATAGCATATCAGGTTACTATAAAATCTTAATATAGTCAATCTATTTTGAACTTAAAAACAAAACGTTAATGCTCAAAATCGCCTGGAGTAATTTGGCGTTTAACTGATTGTCGACTGTACTAGCGATGTTTGAACTACTAATTAATAATTTCAGAGATATTAGAAAATGATTCAATTTATACTGGTCAATGATACCCAGTTCTTAGTAATAATACATGAAAATATAAACATTCAGAGGAAGCTTTACTTTAATACGTTTATTTCCAGTAAATTTTTAGTCTTAGTCCCACTATAATTATGCTGACAACGCAATTATTTCGATTAGACTAAAAATTAAGTGCAATTAAAGTATATAGGTACGCACTGATATGTAAAGATAAAATGTTTATAGTATAATTTCAGAATGGGTTCTAATCGTTATAAGTTCTTTGTATATTGCGCGAGAGGAGTGTGTTATATAAGTTACAGTATGCTGTATTATATTGTAGAAAGGTCATTCAATATAAATTCACACTTATAATATTTGTTTTTATTGAACAAACTTAACCCCGCCTCGCTTCACTCGTAGTCTAATATTTAAGAATTGTGTTGAAATCTCTCTCACTGCGCTAACATCGCCATAGTCCACGGCAAGACGGAAGTTTCAAGTTAAAGTCGAGATGGTGCCGTATACCTGCAGTGCTCTACCTCGTTTGGACCTAGTATTCATGTGGTATCGAGACACATGGTATCAATCCCAAAGTATGGATACTAGTCAGTATCGAGTATTTAACTACTTTTATTTAAAATCGTAACCGTGTATGAATATTAGAGTTTACAAAGATCGAGCATAGAAAATTACAAAAATTTTCTTATAGAGAAAAAACAACGAAGTTTTAATGAGGCAACTAAAGTGTTTCAGTGTTATTACAAAAAAGATAAACACGCGTTGAACACGTGTTTAAAAATTGTTCTATTTGAGCATTGGTTAAGGCAAAACAACCCTTAAACATTGTTTAAAATTTAAACACATGATATGTTGTTTATGGAGTATCTTACCTTTCAAAATATTTCACTATAGTTTTGACTTTGATAAGAATTATGTCTTTGAATTTAAATTAAAAATGATAATTTTAGATTAAATATTTTCATTTACAAAAATTATTAACTAGTGTGTTTAAAAGATATCTTTTTACGTCTAAAATTTATTATAAGTTTGTATACAGCGTGCATAGAATTGAACGTGTATGAACGAATGAAAGCTAGTAGTACGAATGTTTCTTTACTTAGACAATGTTTAAAAATGAATTTGTAATAGGGAAAATTAGACATCATTTTAAACAGGGTTTATATTCCTAAACACAGTTAACATAAACACATGGTAAAACACTGTTTAACGTCTCTTTTGTAATAACACTGTTTGTGTTTAAATTCTCTTTGGACGAAAGATTAATATCGTTGAAAAAAAAACAAAATAAAAGAAATTGGATGTGTATTTAGTAACCTTTAAATAAATCTCTTAACAGCCAATCAGTATACATCATGAGTCGACCTATTCTCTTCCTAGATTTTCGTATTAGCCTATAGACTATCATTCGCATTTTGAGGCTAATACTTCGGCGACGAATTGGGAATTTCATCTGATTATGAACCTTATAACATTTTGGCTTCATTTACGTATTTTTTCAAAGTTCATAATTATAGAGTGGGCAATTGTTTATCAGCTCTCTGTCGATGTAGTGGTAATTGATGATTCAGCTGTTATGTCGTCGCAGCGAGGTGGCAGGATGATTTGTAGTTCCTCAGTCAACTGGACCTCATCTTCGGGAAGGGGATCGTCTAGTACTCTCGCATTATATTCTTCGTTCACTGATATTCCACTGCAAAAAAAATGAGATGATAAGTTACTATATTTGTCACGCTGGGTTGCAGCACTATGTTGCAGATTTTCCCTATGGACGTTATCCATCGCGCTGGTCAAGTGCAGATTGGTAGGTGTTAGTTAACGACTGCAAATGCCGCAAGGTCTAATGGTTTAATGCACAGATGTCAGGCACAAAGTGAGTATTAAAGTTGCTAAATAAACCTTCATATAAAAAATATTTCTATGCTAAATAACCTAGTTAAGAGCTATGGTACTTATGTGGCAAGTTTTAGAGTTTCATTCTACTTAATACTTACTCTAACTGGTCTCCAGCTCTGGCGCCTGCAAGGACAGACGTGTAGAGCCTAGCGCGTGTGCCGTGTAACCTCATACCTGCCGGCACGTCTTCAGCACCGGACCGTGTCTCAGGTATAGGGTGGAGAGCTATTGCTGTGTTAGCTGTGTTTAAAATACTTAAAAATATTGGCTTAAGAATTTTCCAGAATAAATTATTTTTGAGTAGGAAGGCGATTGAAACAACAATGCACAAGACTTCTTATCGTCAGAACGGGTATAAATTGATGTCTGGCATCCATTGGTTTGTTTTATTTCAAAAACAGAGAAGTTAAAACAGCGTCGTTCCGCGATCAGACACAGCAAGTGTTGTGTGTCGAGAACAGGTGCGAGTTAATGGTGACTTAGCGAACAGTGGCACTATAGACAGAACACAATTATACGCTACGGGTATCGAACATAAGAGGACTCTGAAGAGGGTAGTGCGACATATCTGCCAATAGAATCTACCTGCAAGACTCAGTCACTCCACCGTGGTCATGGCGTTTGTAACAGCGCCGAAATATCGTGGACTCAACAAATGTAAGATGCATAGAAGCATTCCTGTAATTACTTTACTATTTTAGTATTTTCAATTGTTGGACACAAACCTATTGTTGGACGCAAGACTTAATAGTAGGTATATCACTATATAGTATAAAACAAAGTCGCTTTCTCTGTACCTATATAGGTATCCCTATGTATGCTTAAATCTTTAAAACTATGCAACGGATTTTGATGCGGTTTTTTTTATAGATAGAGTGATTCAAAAGGAAGGTTTTTATGTATAATATAAGACCACGCTAGTATTAAAATATATTAACTTGTTTAATGCATGAACAAAAGAGAACCTAGATTAATAATAAAAATGAAATGATATACCTTCGTCGTGTAAACGAGAATCGTTGTTCTGTAAGTCTCTTCCCTGTCTGTTCTCATCAGGAGGCATCGGTAGCCGATTATCTGCAAGATGATTAAAGTCTATAGCAGCATTTGCCAAAGTGTAATCCGCGGAGCCTCGGGGTTCCAAAAAATATGTTTATTTTAACTTTATTGTACAAAAATGTACAAATGGCCGACTTAATGTTATTAAGCATCCCCTAGCAGTTAACCGCGGAGTTCTAGCAGAGGTACAAACAAAAAATAAGCGATATATTGCTTAAGTTGAAATTTTGAAAATCCATGAAAATATTGGTAATATTCTGGCAAAAAATATGTAATTATGAATTAAGATGTAAGCATATCTTAAAAAACTTAAGCAACAGGTAATGTGTATACATTACCTACACATAAAACTAGATTATTTAGCTGTCTATGAAAGTTTAAAGCTTTTCGAAAATTGCTAATAGTTAAGAAGTCAAATTATGTGCCCATGTTCTTTTTACCATTTTTGTGTATCCCACGTGTAGGAGTGTCGGCGTATCCCCGAAAAAGTGTCTCCAGTTCATCTGGTGTCAGACGTCGTAAATATGGAACACGCTTCAAATCCGGCCGGTGGAGACATCGGAACGAGTTTCTATGCTGTTTGAAATGTCATCATCATAAGGTTATTAACATTTCCAAACATCTAGGGCTTAGGCACAGTATGGAATTACATGAGGAGATTACCGAAGCATTGTGGCACGGATTGACGTCTGAACGCTTAATGTAAGTTTTTTGTCCTTTACATTCACCGTTGATCGTACGCGAAGGTTTTAGTATGGAATCCGGTACAACGCCCCTAGCGTTTATTACTAAGAGCTAAAATTCTCAATACAAATTCTTAACGGGCTGAATAGTGAACGCGTTAACGTAAAACTTACACTTCACAATCTAGTAAAGACTGGTAAAGAAGATACAGTTGGAAAAAATAGTTTAACGTATTTTCTGAAGTTACGTATCTCTGTTCGTATGTAAATAACCGTAAGTAATGAATTTTGTCATAAACATGATAACGATTTCTAATTACTCAAACTCCTACAAAATCAATTGCAAAATTTAACATTTTCTGGTGACTTGACGTGCCTCATTTGTTTATATAAAACCTTTCTTGAATGAGCCTATAAATATTTCGATATCCTCATAAGTCTAATAGTGTAACTCAATTAACCAATTTTACAATCCTAAAGTCAAATCATTTTATAAAGATTATAAATGACAAACATTCTAACTACTTACTTACTGTAGTGTGAAAATTGTAAAATGATAATTCACTCTTATGATTTCGGTACGACAGGAGGTATCGATTTGCTCTTTTCTCAATTTCAAAGTCTTACTAAAAGAGAAAACTTACTTTTACCAGACCTGGAGGCACTTGCATCTTCTCGCATGCACGCGACATGCTTAGGCACTGAATCACACTGTCGTGCTTTAATGAGATGGCTGACAGACCAGTGCGTACGAGGTCTTCATTTATCTACAGCAATATTTTAAATGTCAGAAGCTATAAAAATGATGAGGCTTTATATAAAGAGTTGTGAACGTTAAGCCACATTTTCACGGGGTCAGTAACTAACTCCGAAGTTGTGGCAAGTCAGAGATGATGTCGAGTAAATTGAACTATAAAGAACACCACTACTACTATTTGATGAACCCCTAGTGAATCAACATGTAACATTTCGAACCAGGTGTCCATGCTGGATAAGATGTACGTAAAGACCGAGCTTTGTGGCATTCGCTTTGCCTTGCTTTGCTTATCTTAAAAGGGATATTGCGGGAAGAAATAATTGAGATAGGTACAGAAGAAAATATTTTTAGTAGTTAAATAATTACAATAATATTTTTTTATTGCGCCATTTTACTTCCAAATTTAAATAGATCTAAGCTGAAAGAATATATTAAAAGTCTGATTAGAAACGCATAAAAAGAATACCATACTTGTGAAGTCAAGATTCAGTAAGCTGATACGAGAGCGACAAAGGCAAAATTCCCAGTGTACAATTTTGAAATATTTCCCACAACGACATCTCACATATGAATATGAGATAGACGTATAAAATGGTGAATTTTAAAAACATTGCATTAATGCTAATAAAAAGTATTCTTACTTAATTTTGAGAATTAAAAGACGAAAATGTTTCACCAACGCAATTTCACATTATATGTTTGAATCAATCCCGCTAATCCACCCAAACATATTATGATAGTAAAGCAAGGAAAATACTCGGGATAATGTCAAAAGAGACTTTAATTTGCGTCCGGTTCCAATAAACCGTCCTGCGCGTCGAACAAAACATGCCGCATAGAACCAATCTATCATCGGAGACACGACATATTGTGGCTGAGTGCGTAAATTTCCTACAGGCAATGGACTGTAACAACAATTTGGGGGTGTCGCCTTCGTATAAATTTGAAATACGGAAAATTCTGCTTAATAATAATATCTATGCCTACTTATAACTCATATTTTAAACCGAGTTCAACAAAGAAGGTTTTCAATTAGATAAGGTTTTTGCGAGTTACCTAATAATTTTACGAAAGCTTGTCAAGTGCTCTGACATAATTCTTTATCGAAATAACTGTAAAAACAAATATAGACGATCTAATTATTTATATAATATTACTTTAAAAAATTATTATATTTCAACAAAAAACGATTTGCTTTTGTGCTGAATTAGGTTTTCCTTTAAATGCTACGATTGTCCGTTATATTTCCACATCTATTGGTAATAGAACGCGTACAAATTTTGTTCCTAGTGTTTGTAGTTTTTATACGTTTGGTTGATTCTGTACCTACTGACTAGTTTGATTCTACTGTACTGTAGTACTAGTTCATCATTTTCATCAGCTTCTTCATGCACTCACTGCTGGAGCACAAGGCTTCCTTATGTATAAGATTATAGGAAACAAGTCCTATTAGATCTACGACGGGTCGGCCATCATATTGTAGCTCACCTGCAATTCTTTTCCTTCGCAGCAGGGCACGAGTGGTGGTAACTCTTCCTTCAGTTTATGGGCGGAGTTCATGACCGCCATATTGTCTCCACTTGCCACTGGATTCATTAGCATCAAGGAGGCGTTCGACGAACGTTTCTCCTTCACCTCTATGTTATCTGAAGATGCCTCCATCTTGTTCATCCTCACTGTGGCCTGGACGGTGTTTTGTTCGTGTAACAGCTGCATTACGATGGATTTTGTATGGTTTGATTTAAGTGTAATTTGTGGAATTTCAATGTTACTTACATTTTTATATTTTGACACTGTTTAAGTTTCGATTTTTGAATATGAATTTGAACGAAAGCGAAGAGCATATTTATTATTAAGCGATACTTGGTCCCAGTTAGACATTTACTATTATTATTGACTCGTTGCAATTTCGCAAGCTCCGCTTACATACTTGCAGCCCTCAAATCGCTGATAACTGTCACTGTGCAGTGATTAATTATGTTGATGTCATTAAATACCTTGGTGTCTCATTTGACAATAATATGTCCTATAAAATACATGTTCGAAATCTATGTGGCAGGGTGAGAAAACTTATAGCTACCTTTAAGATACTACGACATGTTCTTGAACCTGTGCATCTCAAACGAGTTTACCTAGCATTATGTCAATCTATACTAACCTATGGTATAACTATCTGGGGAGGGATGCCAAAAACAAATTTGAAATGTTTGGAGGTGGCTCAGCGATCAGTTTTGAAGGTTTGTACTTTTAAACCATATCTGTATCCCACCAGCCTTCTGTTGAAATATTGCGAAGTACTTAGCGTCAGAGGGTTGTTTTTATTATTTATTGTCTTGAAAAAGCACGCAGAAATTGACTTTGACCAATCAAACTCTCAGAGACGGCGTAAGGATATTGTTTGCAGACATAAACGAGGTTGCCGAACAAGTTTCGCTAAACGTTCTTACATCTTCCTTGGAAACTTTGTTTATAATAAGATAAGCAGATATATTACCATTGTCCATTTGAATAAATACGAGTGCAAGAGGAAAGTCACTAGCTTTCTTCTTTCTCTTGACTACGATGAGAAGGAGCAGCTACTTGCTACAGTTTCATAATAGAATACACCAAACAAAATCTCATACTCATAACTCATCAATCAAACAACATTTCAACGCACACATACACATTCACACACACACACACACACACACACAAATAGTTATAAATAAATATTTTTTTATATATATAGTTAATATAAATAGTTTTTAGTAGAATAAACAAAACATTAATAAAAATTGTAACTTTATAAATAATAACATTATCTTCATTAGGTCTAATTGGGGTAGTTGCGCTGTCTTGCCAGATGACAGGGTGATAACCACCTTAGTTTGGCAGCAGATGCCTTATACGAGTAAAACTTATTTTAATTATCGTATGATTTCAATAATGTCAATATTATTAAGTTTATACTACTTGTATATTTAGGAAACTGTTGTTACTGGAAATAAAGATTATTATTATTATATTATTATTATTATATTAATTATACTGATAAATGTCTGTCCAAAACTTAAAAAACTGAATTTACCCTATAATGATGTCATAATCTTCTAAATCATTGTCATATGTTTAAAATTCATTAATTACGTTAGTACACACATCTCCGTCTTTGGATAACTTTAAATTCCTTACATAAGTATGAGTATAATACCAAATTTCAACTTAATATAACACATATTTTTATAGTAGGTACATCAGTTATAGTAAGTATGAGGATGGATAGAGAGATAGACGAATACAAGAGGATGCTATTAGGGTATCGGTTTTGCTTTTCAAAGCACAAAACTTGAAAATATATGAAAATAGGACAAAAGAATCTTGAAAGTGCCATAACATTGTAGTTGATTGGTGGATCTTTCTTGTAGAATGGTGGTATAGGTAAATATAGTATCATTATATGTATATACTTACGGAATTATATTAAAACAAAGCCATTTTTTTGTTTAGTATTCACAAGACACTTTGAGCCAATATACATATTTATCTGCGCCTATTGTAGCAAAGATTGGTCACGCATTTCCTTTACTCCTAAGATCATAAAATATTGCTATATCTTTGAGTCCGCAAGCAGCACAATCAGCAGAATATGCGAAAAATCTTAATTAAATAACCAATCCTCAAAAGATTTCTGGAGAACGAAAAGAGTGAAAAAACGCGTCAATTTCGCCTCGGGCGTTGGTAGGCTAGGAAAATTTAACATTTTCCTTTCGGTTCTTTTCACTTATAAATTAGAATCATTATAAGATTGTGTTGAATTGGTAGACGTAAGACAGACGTAGTACTGCCACGCTAAGAAGGTAATTCCATGGTGATTACTATATGAACGTTTTTTTATTGTAGGTATGACTACATAGAGCCATAAAAGCCATAAAAATAATTTTGTAAAATTTGTTTGAAGTTATATAGTGTATATGATGGTTAAGTGCTTTGTTATTCTGAGTAGGGCTGAATCAATTTTACTCTTTGGGGCGGCGAACACCGTCATAAGCTTAGAATAATTACTAAAGGTTATGAGCTTGTTATAAGTCTACAAGAATCTGAGGGTACAAAATAAAACGAATAAATATCTTTGATCTTAGCCAAAAGGCCGAGAAGCGGTTAAACAATAAATATCGATTTTCTTAGAGCAATAGAAAATGTCGACTGTTGAGAGAGTAGCTCGGTGGCGTAGTGGATATGCGCCGCGGCACGCGATCGTTGTTGTTAAGCAACTTTCGCAAAGGGATGGGTGACCAAAAAATTATAATCTCGAGCTACCATGAGCTTCGTGAAGCCGGTGATCTTGGCTGCATTTGCAGTCGTTAATACCCTCCAATCTACATTGGCCCATCTTCCTTAACCATCCAAAAGGAAGGCCTGAGCCCCTGCGGTGATGATGTTAGCTGTAGAGTTAGGCGGTAGCTCTGCTGAACTGTTAATGATGTGTTGTACACTAGAGCAATGCAGAGGTATCCCCAACCTCAGGTTATCTGATGATCTCTACATATATCAAATGGTTTTGTTTCACTTGCAGCGCTTCGATGATTTTCTAAAACTTACTACGTACCACAATATATGTATTTATATATATACGTAGTAACGTACTTATTGGAAGATGTTAGTCGGATATCGACAGAAAAGAGTTCCATTTAGCTTGCCCTTAGGTTGCATTAAATGTTACAAAAACCTTATTACTAGTTTCCTAACGCAGGATTACAATGAAACAGTAATCAAGACTTACCATTTTATTAATAAGTAAAATTAGAATAGAAAAGCAAAATTGTGGATAAAAACCATAAATTAAGAGTGTATTTTAAAAATCATTGTGTTCTAAATAATTATATGATTTCATTAAATCAAACCTTTTTACATAAAAATCAGTAATCTAATTTATAAATATAGCAAAATGGTATTAAATAAATGGATTCAATAACAAGTCGATACAATGAATCTCAGTATTATGACGTCATCGTTATTCTAGTGATAGTCACTTATTTTTCATGGTGAGTTCTCACTAGGACTTTCCTTTTGTACTTCTCCAGGTACATAGAAATCCTTTAGTTCAGTTTCTTCTGTAGACTCTAAAAGTTGTTTCTGCGGATAAAAAATAACTCATATGAAACACAAACGTTTATATCTAGCATTCCGCCGATGGTACTTTTATCTCAAGAGATCAATTTAGTAAGATGAAATGTAGTGAATCCAGGCTTTAAATTATATAAATATATATGATAAACACCATCAAATTCTATTTAGTAGTTTTTGTGTGAAGAAGTTATATTTAAATCTTAAACTTTTGCCTTTATTTTTAATAGCTTTCCGCCAGCGGCTTTGCCCGCGTGGTTCCTAGAGAAGCGCGTTCGCTCTGCGATGCGAAAGTTGAGCTACATTCATACGGGCCACTCATAGGATGGGTAACCAACAATTTATCATCTCGATATCCTTCGTGATTGGATTCGATATCCAACACCAATCCTTGCTGGACCCGCGTGGTTGTTAATGAGCCGTTTTCTCTATTTGATTCTATCCGTAGCCAAGCCCAGCCATCCGTATTCCATCCGGATGGCTTGTACCACTAGTGGGGATATTAATTTGAGCTTTGTAGGTCACGGGCAGGCGGATGGCAAGGATTGCGTATTAACGCATCCCCTCCTCTGGACCGACGGCCAGTGCTGACAGCCCACCCGCTTCCCTGTGGGGCTGGCCCCAGGAATGTTCCACCGTCTAGGTGGTAGGTCAAGTACCTTAGTCCTTTCTCAGCCCATAAAAGGGGGGGGGGGGTTTAGTGGCTGGGATCCTGGGTTCTTCCCAGAAGAATTAAACAAATAAAAATGATTGACTCACCAATCTCTTCTTCTCCTCGTTCATTTCCGTCCGCAGCGAGCGCAGTATCCTGTGCGCCAGGAACTCGCTAGTTCGTCTCACGTCGGCGCAGTCGCCGCGCACGCGGTTATCAACCACCGCTGACGCGAGGCCCTCCACCGCTTCCCCCCACTCCACTGTCAACGGCAATAGGGGATAACGACTGATTTTAGTTTGTCTGTCCTTCGTGTGGATTATTAAAGAATATTTAACACGTTGAATATATTACTTTCGCAATGGTCTGTCACGGGATGGGTGACTAAAAACTTATTATCTCGAGATACTGCGTGCTTCGGCAGCCACGATTAGCTGTTGATCTCGGCAGCATTTGCAGTCGTCAATAGCCTCCAGTCCGCATTACCCAAGGCTCATCCTCCTTAGCCATCCATAAGGGAGGTCTGAGCCCTGTAGTGGGGCCGTTAAAAGACTGATGATGATGATTTAACACTTTTTTTTTCTGCGTAGTTAATAAATTACGGCGATACATTAAGTTGAAATGTGGCGTGATGTCACACCTTTGTGTACTTTTCTACATAGCTGTGACGTAGCGAAACTCCACTCCACCTTACTGACTGTTTTCTAAGCTACTTTTTGATAAATTGAAGCAAAAAGGAAAAAATACGTATCTAATATTTCTCTTTTAACTAACTAATGGCTTAAAAAAATTTCTTTTGTTTTACCCAGTCATTATTCCTATTGCAGGTTTTAATGAAATAATCTCAAACTAAGTACGATTCTAAGGGTCCGTGCATATCTGACAGAAGCGTACGTCTAGTATTATCTTTCGAATAATGTTAGAACTGACAAAATATGTAATACAATATTATAATCCATCAGTGTGTAGAGCGTACTAATGCATACTTCCTTAAATTTAAGTAAAGGATAAAAAAATAAGTAAAAGAAGAAACTGTGACATTTAGTACGCGAAATTCTTTTGGAGCATATTTTTTTTATAAAAAAAAAAACAGTTATCCGATTAAATAAACCGGTCGGGTTAGAAGATGCACTGGTGAACATTAAGTTATTACTATGATTATATATAAATACTATTTTTAACAGACTTCATAAAAAGAAGGTTCTCGGTTTGACCTGTATGAATGTATGTTTGTGCGCGAATATCTCGTGTTTGGTTGGACCGATTTTGATGCGGTTTTCAGCATAGTATTCGTAATACTTAGGAAAAGGTTTAAAGTATTAACCGACTAAAAAAGGGAGATTAACATGGTTTTCAGAAAAGTATTTTTAGTGTATAAAATATCAATATCACTAAAAAGCATAAAATAAATACTTTAAAAAAATTATCAACTTCAAACTTAAAAAAAGTGAAAAATAATATTTATCTTCAGATAAGTATCTTCAGATAAGTATTATTATTCAAGAAAATGCTATTCGACTTTAATAGCATTTTCTTGCGCTGTTCATTTAATTAATAGACTACAGAAAACCTCCATCCGACTTCAATAGCATTTTCTTTATTAAGTCGCTTTTGATATACGTATTATTTTTCACTTTTTTAAGTTAGAATTCGCTTCTATTTTTTATGATACCCACTCCGATGCTTCATGTGAGGTAATGTAACTTTGCCAACTGTGACGTCCATGCCTTTGTCAACTCTGGCACTGATCGAGCGAGAGAGAAGTTTTGCTGCGGCATTCACCATCTGATAACATTTTACGTTAAAAAGAAATTATTACACAACCGTCCAATACCTAAATAGGTCCACTTGTTTCTAATAGAGGTCTTATTACCGTCTTTCCGTCCGTCCGCGCTTTAGCTCAAAAACTATTGGTATTAGAAAGTTGTGATTTGGCACGAGTATACATGTTAATTATGCCGACAAAGTGGTAAAGTAAAATTTCGAAACAAAAATTAGTATACTTCCCCTACATGTGACCTGGAGATTTCGTTGGAGTTCTAATTTTCGTTAGAGTTGTCCCCCTTCTACCAACTAAACGGTCCTTGGCACAAATTGAAACATTACGGCAGTAGTCCCTATATATAACGTAGTTAAAGGAAAACTATCACACTTAAGTTGGCTTCAGAAGTTTACGAGTAATAGTCAACCAATTGTATTTAGCTCGAGAATTTCAAACAAACTCGTTTTTTTTACCGACCCACACATAGCCGGTTTTTTTTAGATTTCATTTGTCGTTATTTGGATTTCATAACTTTCTCAAAGAATCTTTCTTCCTTGCTCTCATAACGGTGGTCTTGAATATATTCTTGATTATAGTTCTAATTAATTTTTATTTAAAAAACTAGCTTTCTGCCTAAGACTTATGACTTGACAGTATTTATCCCTGGGGAATCGTAATATATTTCAGGTTTAGAATTATCCGCGTAACAAATTTCATCGTAATCCGTTTACTAGATTTTTCGTGAAAGAGCAACAAATTTACTTCCACCCTTACAAACCTTCGCATTTTGAATATTTCGCATTTATTTACATTGTCTATGTCGAGGAAAAATAACTGTATATGTTGTATATGGAAATTCAGGAATACGTGCTATACGTGCGATGATTGCGTACAAACAACTTTGTCACGACAAAATAACGTATTGTAAAATTGCTTTGTTAAAATTCCAACCTCAAGCAATTTCCTTCTCTCCGGAAGATATCCACCAATGGCGACAGGGTCCGGCAAGTCGTCCACTCGGTCTGCGAAAGTCACTTCCGCCAATATCGTTTTGGATGGCTAAACATACAACGTGAACAATATTAGAATTTAAACTAACGCATACACATACATCCAGTTGCGCAAAAGTCTAATATAATTGTTGGTTCAAAGACATTAACGATAGAAATTTTTAAATTTAGAATTCTAACTTGTATTTTTTTTTGTTGTTTTCTAATTTCTAAAGGATTAAAAAGAAAGAAGGCACTCCTGCTCCTACTGACTTTATTTTAAAATTTTATATAATTGTAAAGGAAATATATTATATTTCAACGAGACATGTAAAATTTAATATATTTATCAGGTATATTGACAAAAATTGGTAATCACGGTACTAAAGTACCTACCTATTTATTGATTTCAAATCGGCCATGATGTGACATGTTTGGCATGTCAGAATATTACGATTACATCAATTGGTTACATTATTCATTTTTATTTATTCTCTACAGCCTCTTACTTGCATTTTTGTTTAGATTTCGAATCACTTAACCAATAATGCTTTAGCGGAAGGAAATGTACTATATTCTTTTAGGTTTTAGACAATCCGTGTTATCCAAGAATGACAGATAGTGATTAATACTCACTACAGGGGTAGGTGGTCGATCTCTGACGCTTTTCATATCAAGTTCAGTGAACTCTTCAGCTGCGATGTTGGTTATGTCGCCAAAAATAATAGCGGAACTTTTCTTGTTGCCGAGCGCTTCGGTCAGCGCGATCGTCAGGTGAGTCGACCAACGAGAAGCTTTCCCGCTGAAAGAACGCGGCTTATTTAATGATATGCATCTAAAAAGAAAGAAGCTCTAGCTCTTCTGGGCAGAGTGCGGTTGGCTGGAGTAAAACAGGCAAATTTCACGTGCATTGGACCGACAAAGTCATCAAATTGAGAAAATTGGAAAATTTACAGCCTTAGTATGTGCACTTTGATGAAATGCAATACAGTTATCGAATCATAATGAGCAACTATTAGCGCGTTCAGAATCTACTGCATAGATAAAACAAGTCTCACAAGCGCTATTGTCAGGTGGATTGCTCAATAATTTATTATCTAGGCATAGTTTTGACCTAATATACGAGTTCTTCGTCAATGACATCTTAGATAATAAAAATATTAAATAATTACATATACGAGTACATAGCTTAGCTCTTAAACAACTGATACAACGAAATTAATACTGCACAAAAAGGTATTTTAAATAAATTTATAATAATAATTGACACTTTATTGCTCACACATAATTACTAAAATTAAGTTAACAACATTGGTACTAATGCTAGGGTGGGCATAGGCGGTCTTATCGCTAAAAGCGATCTCTGCCAGACAACATTTGGTTCGTGTAACATTTGGAGAGAAAGACTGGAGGTAGTGTGCCAATAGTAGAGATGAGATCCAAAAATAATATCTATATATATATATATATATAACTCAAAGGTGACTGACTGACATATGTAGTGATCTATCAACGCACAGCCCAAATCACTGGACGGATCGGGCTCAAATTTGGTATACAGGTAGATGTTATGACCTAGGCATTCGCTAAGGAAGGATTTTGATCAATGCTACCCCTAAGGGGATAAAATATTGGATGAAGGTTTCTATGAAACTTTGTCAATTTTAAACCGATCGGGCTGAGACTTTGCATGCATAAAGCTACTATGACGTATCTAGTAGCTTTATGCATGCAAAGTCTCAGCCCGATCTAAGAAAGGATTATAATCCGTAACCCCGTAATCTAAGAAAGGATTTTTATCAATTCTACCTCCAAGGGGATAAAATAGGGGATGGAACTTTATTTCAGGTATTTTACACGATATAATGAAAATATTCGTTAGAAATGCTGGTCAAAGTAACTTTACCACGCGGACGAAGTCGCGGGCAAAAGCTAGTAATAAATAAAATAGTATGATAATGAAGGTAAAATGCACAAATATGTATGTTAAATACGAAAAAAATAATATCTTATAAGTACATATCTAAAAGATGCTTATGCAATTTAGATTTGAAAATGGCAATAGATTTTGCATGTCGAATAGCAGACAGCAGCTTATCTCAGAGCCCAGCAGCTTTAATAGTAAAGAACTCACAGTACTATCTCGATCTACTCGTGCTATGATTAATCTCTAGCACATTATCTGTCCCAGACCGCAGCTCGCGACTATGATTTGCGCCCAGAAATTGGAAACGTTCTTTAAAGTAAGAAGGATCATAAAGGATTTTATACAGAAAAGTGAGAAAATGCTCTTCACGACGCAGTCTTATGGGGCCATGAGAACTAACGTGATCAACAGATGTAACAATACCGAGGTCTAACAACGAAGATTGACAGTTGGGAAAATGGTGGGTAGCAGATAAAGGTACAATGTTGGAGCTGGTGGAATTGATGAATGAATGAACACTTTTATTGTACACCATAATTAAACAAAAGGATAATCGATATAATTTAGTGGTACAATCGGCGGCCTTATCGCTAAAAAGCAATTTCTTCCAGGCAACCGCAGGTTAGATTGGATTATTACTTAAGCAGATGGGCAGTAGATGGTGTCTTACATGGCGAGAAAACATGTTTTCATATATAAACATACCTACATACACACAAGCTCATACATAAATATACATACATAAATATGCATATATACACAAAAAATAATAATAGTAAATATAACAGTACCTAAACAAAGTATACGTATAGAATAGAAGTAGGATGAAAACGATAGCGTATTATACTTGAAGTGATAATAGTACATTACGATATTAGTGCGTTATGATGGTTATAACATGCGAGGCGGAATTTCAGTCCGAGCCGAAGGCGAGGGCGTAATTGAGTCGAGCATGTTATAACCAATACGCACGTATATCGTACGAAGTTTTTTAACACATTTGCGAGGAAACAGAAAAAAAAACATTAAATAAACTCAATCTGTCAATGTACACTGTTGCTTTCCCGTCATTTTAACAGCGCGCTAGTGCCTACTGACTGGCGCCGCGCGGCGATTAGTTCGAAATTTGAATAGCGCGAAACGGCAAATAATACTGTTATGGAATTTGTATGGACAATAACTTAACTATTTGCTTTGGTAACACACGCGTTTTTCATGACCCGCTTTACATATTTAAAACCGGTGGAATTACATCAGCTTTACGAGCAAAGGTGTTAAAATTAATATACTTTTAACATCTTCTTAAAGCAGTGCAGTGATGGAGCGCGCATTATTTCTTCCGGCAATGCATTCCACAAGCGAACAGCCTGAACTGCGAATGAATTATCAAGGAATTTTGTGGAATGCATTGGCATCTGCAATTTTAAGCTCTCTGATGATCTCAACGCGCGAGAGTGTGAATCGAGAAAGGAACTTAAAGCGTTCCTTAAGATAAGTTGGAGAGAAAGGATTGAACAGAATACTGTAAAGCAGGGAAACAATATGCGCATTCCGACGAAGACGTATTGGCAACCACTTTAGCTTAGTGCGAAAATCAGATATATGATCATATTTGCGTAACCCAAATATGAATCTAATACAAAAATTTTGAAGTTTCTCATCTTTATTTAATTGCTCCTCAGTTAAGTCTAGATAGCTGATATCAGAGTAATCCAGAATTGGAAGAAGAACGGATTGTGCGAGCGCAATTTTAGTGGCCACTGGTAAGAAGTTACGCAGCCTCTTCAAGGAGCCAGCTGCAGCAAAGATTTTACGACTCGTTTACTCGATCTGAGGTCCCCATGTCAAGTTTTTGCCTATGATAATACCCAAGTGTCGTACGCTGTCACTTGGGGCTACAGTGATACCATCAAACATTATTGCAGGTAAACATGACCACTTAATTTTATTTGTCATTGCAGGGCTGCCAACAATAATGGCTTGGGTTTTCAAAGCATTTTCTTTTATGCCGTAGGACTAAGTCCAATCACAAATTATCTCTAAGTCACGGTTCAGAGCCTATAATTGGAACTTTATTTAGTGAGCTTTGACAATTTTCTGCCCGATAGCTTATTATTAAATAGGCCGTTTTTAGATTAAGCTGAATCAAAAACGATACATATTTTAAGCACCACCGTGTAATGTGTCAATCATGCCATTAAATTTTACAATAAAAAATGTAGAGAAACTGTTGGACTTTAAAGATATTTTTTGTAAGATTAACGTATTCATATTAGGTCGAATTGCTTCACTTAGTAGTATTTTAAAATCTGCTTTTGAATCTAATTAACTGAGATAACAGAAGATGTATCATAGAAAATGATGTATAAATATGCTTCCTTGATTAATTATACATCACTATGTGTATGAATAGAAAAACCCGGGTACTATTCGCTCTGATTAGATTGAGCTTGATATCCCAGTTGTTAGCTCATTTGGTATGTGATGCGGAGCTTAAGCAACATTCGTACAGATCAGTCATAGTATGGTTGGAATATGTTAAGAATGAAGTAGAGAGGAATAGTTATCTTCTCATCTGTTAAAATGTGTTTTTATACCCTTATAATACATTGTTAATTGGTTATTATTAGGCTGGCATGATGTCTAAGTTCAAAAGCCTATAAAAATAAGATGAAAGTCTTTTAAAATAAAAACATAAAATAAATAATACAAATAAGACGGCTTATCATCAAGTTGCCGATACAATAAAAGAGCTTGTTAAAGCAAAATTTCTCCATAATGTTAATATCTAATGCACGTCTGAGGCATTTGAGGCGAGCTAAACGGCTTTAAGTATTGTTAATTAAGCGATGCCATACAAAATTAATGCAAATCTTAAACCCTACTCGAGAAACGCTCGAGAGGCTCGAGAAATGGATTGATAGTGATTATATCTCACTCTCGGTCTCTCACTCGCCCGTTTCTTATCTTTCTCGAGTGCGTCATATAATATTATGTTATATGATGGTTCGTATCAAATGCCATTTTTTTGCAATTAATTTCGTAATTCATTTATTGTATGTAATTAGTAATATCAATTTATTCGTTTATTTTAAATAGATACATGTTTTATGAATATTAATATGAAAACAATGATTTGAATTAAAAAGGAAACAAGATGTGTAAACGTGTTTGTTCCTTCATATAAAAAGTTATTTATTGAATAAGTTAAAATATAAACAGTTTTGAATATATTTTGCATATTCTGAATAATCACTCTTCAGTTAGACATTATCCGTCTTAATTTCAATTCATATCTACTAATTGTTCTCAATATTCAAATGAATGAGAGATTTACAATTCAATAGAATTCTAATAAAATTCAAGGCAGGGTTAAAATGTTATTTCGATAGATACAGATTCAGAATGTTTTTCAAGTATAGTCAACATAACTATAAGTACAAAACTGTCAAATTTCCCCACTTAGATTCAAATCTTCATATATTAATAATAATAATATTTTTTATTTTCCTTCACAAACTTAATCTACGAACATACATTAACAATTAACCAAATCGTTCAGTTTGTGAGAGGCTGATGCCTAACAGATAGAGGTCGAAATTCGATATTGAAGGTAAAGGTCAAAATTCATTGCAGAAATTTAACTTAGTTATTGGGATTTAGTGGTAAAATTTTAAGCGATAAAGAAAATGACAATTACATTTAGTTTACCTACATTAAAAATACATGAAAAGTAACCTAACTGGGTGACTTAAGCTTTTTTCGCGAACCTGGTGAGCTAGAAAATTTAAATGTTTTATGCTTGATATATCTGTTATATAACTCAATCTTTATTATAAACCTAAAACAATGAGATAATTTACAGAAAGACACACATGTTATCCAAGTGAAACCAAATTCCATATTTCGATAAAGCAATTTCCATTGCTTTATGCATTTTAAGCCATAATTAAAAATATTGATACCGGTTGCAAATCAGCAAATAGAATAATATAAATAAATATAAAGAAGAAGGTTTCGTTTATGAAATCAATATAAAAATCCTTATTTTTGTTAAATCAGAACCGTGAAGCATCATAAATTATCGGAAAATATATTTCTTTGGAGTCGTATTAGCATTTCGAAAAATGGGAAATTTCTTTTTCGTATAAATAGAATAAGCCTTCACGTTTCATGTTGATCAGTACCAAAATAATAGCTCATATGAAGCTTGGTGCCTTACTTACTAGTTATAGAGATAGGTTTCATTGCAATTTACAATCTTACAAATGCATGCACGCACATATTCGCACAAACATACACTTACACGCTTGCATGCTGATTTCCTGATTTATAAAAGACTAGACTCTGTTTATGCTATGGAAAAGCGGATCAAACAAAGATGTAGGTTCATATTTCGTAACTAGAGTTTATAAGTCTCTCTTGACGGTCAAATAAAATATTTCTGATTATAATGGAACATAAAGAGAGTTCTTTATTAATGTAACAATGAAATTTTATTATGTTTGCTCAATTTTGAAGCATTTTTCCTTGAGGATGAAATTTTATTTAAAATTACAATTTAATTATTCTTCTATTTTTTTCATAGATTTAAGTTTGAATATACTCACTTCATCAAGCAGTTTGATCGGGGCCGTTGGTAGGATCGTCTCTATATCCATCCTTGCCCTGGCCTGTCCCAGGGTCATCAGGGCGTCACCTTGGGTCGATATAGCGCTTGACATAGCTTCAGTAGCGAGACGCTGAGCTAATTCTAAACTCATTCCTTTGGCACCCCCGTTTCGACTAGAAAAAATAAGCATTGCAAATCTTAATATTCATACAAGTGACAGTTTAGCGCAAATCTGATCTAAGAGGTTTTATACGGTTGGTGCGGTCAAACCAATATAGGTTTGAAGTTGTATATATATTAAATCCCGGCGAATATTAGTAAGCACAATTCAGGTACCACAGCGCCATCACGTGATAATATGAGGTAACTTGCTGTCGATTGAATTGATGTGAAGATGAATGAAAGTAATTTCATGTCACTAGAAGCTTGAAAAAATAAATTCATTATAAACGCAATTATATTTAAAGCACGTTTAGTGGAGGTATAAGCATAATGAGGTCACACTTTAGAAGCTCCGTGAGCCATTTCCTGTACGCAAAATTCTCAAGGATTTGCTAACGAAGGTGTGAAGTAACCCTTATACGATTTAGCTCCGTATCCTTAAAATACATGAGAAAAATGTTTTCGTAATTGTATCCTCTCAAAAATGAGACTTTCTACTTATGTAACCATAATAGGCAACATTGATTGTAATTTAACCTAATCTCTGATTTCTTTACATATCACAGTTATATATCATTTTACAAAATATTTTTGAATAAACCGCAATGAAAAATACATCAAATGAAATTTTTCAGTAAATGTTTTTTTTTTTCTTTTAAACCCTCATTTAGAGATGCCAATGAAACCCATTCTTTCAAGTTACATAGAAAATAATAATATCAGCGAATTGTTGACAGTAAACAAAAAATACCCTAACTACGTAATATTTTTATTAAAAGAACCATAAAAATAGGTACCTTTTCGAATTCAACACCCATCTTTCTGACCAGTTGCTTTGACTTAGCATGGCCGCCATGCATGAGTTTCAGATTTGCCAGGCGTATTCGTTGCAATTCCAAATCCGTATCGTAGGCATAGATCTCGGCTTTCCTGTATTTAATATTATATTAAAGTAAAGTATGTTTGTGAAGAGAAGCTCTATAGAAATGACATTAGCCACTCGATTTGCTATTGCGGAGATTGTTCTGTTCTAAAGGCAGATCATAGGATGGCTGAATAAAAAATGTTATCTGGAGCATCATGTAGGCGGTCGACTTTGAAAAACGTCACAAGCTGTTAGTTTCTGCTGCATCTTCGGTCAGTAATATCCATCAATTCGTATTAAGCTCTGGTGATAGATTAAGGTCCTTTTACTCTGTATTTTTTTGGCCATGAAGAAGAGTGACTAATGCTGGGATAGGTGAAATGAAAAGACTTATGATAATGTGTCTTGATGTCGTTAATAAATCGAGAGATGTTGATAATTGGTCTTAATGTTGATGAAATTTAAAGTAAATTCATTGAAATAAAATATTGCAATATATACTTAGCCCTTCTTCTAGCGCCTGCAGCCATATCTTCAGTATATAACTTTAGAAGTAGAGCTTCCTCTTGTATCTTTTGGTTTTGTGCTGCTACGCGTGCAGTCCACTTTCTATTGGCCTGCAAATAATCTGGATTAATAAGGTTCTTTAAGGTTCCGCTCTTCGGAAGGTACGTTAAGCCTTTAGTCTCAGCAGCTTCTAAAGTCTTTAGCAGACATCAATCTGCACTAAATCTTCGTGTTGTAGTGTGGCTTAAATGCTCTTTTTGATTTGATTTCATTTAAAGCAAGCCTGTGCCTCAACAGTAGGGATATTAACAGGCTTGTGATGAATAAGATTTTTTTTAAGAATTATCGTACTCAAAAGTTTACTAGATAGGTAAGAAAGCATGGTAATCAAGGGGTAAAACTACCTTTATATAAAAGCTGTTTGTTCGGATACTACGTCAGGTACAATTGGTTTGGCATTTCAAGCCAAATGCCTACTAAAATGAGCCATAAAATTGAATATCGGCACACGAGATGGAAGATCTCCAATGAATGTTCATTACAGAAAGTGTACCATCAAAGGAAACATTACAGCGAAGACGTTTCATTTTACTGAGCAATTTACAAGAGTTTCCCCAATAGCCACTCACCTAATCTTTATAGGTGTTATTTAATTAAGTACTTTGAATAAAACAAATATACATTTTAGGAGATATAATACAATAAAAAGGTAAAGGATGTTTCTATTTATCATTTTATATGACAGCAATATGTTTTACTATCTTTTTTTTTATGGGATAGGGGGCAGACGAGCAGACGGATCACCTGATGGTAAGTGATTACCGTCGCCCATGGACACCTGCAACACCACAAGCGCGCTGCTGGCCTTTGAGGGACGAATATGATCTTAGGGAGGGACGGGTAGAGGGGTAGAGGGAAGGGAATAGGACGGGGTTGGGCCTCCGGTACCCTCACTCACACGACGAAACACAACGCAAGCGTTGCTTCACGTCGGTTTTTTGTGAGGCCGTGGTATCACTCCGGTCGAGCCGGCCCATTCGATATTGATAAAATCGGACTCCGATCATTTTATCAATATCATCATAAAAAATATGGAAAATGCAAGAACTTTTAGATAATCATAGTATCGTTCGTTGATAACTTTTAGGCCAGATAATGTGGAAGTATTATTATAAGACGAGTACAAAAGTTAGTACTTGGTTCAAAGAACTGGCCGTCTAAAGATAATTTACAATAACAGAAAAGAAAGCGTCAAATTGAGATGTGTAGGGGGTCTTCTGTCCTGATACGCTACCTACCTCGTCTTCCAGCCACCTCTGTTTCGATTCCCGCTCCTGCTTCAAGCGGCTCAGTCGTTTCTTCTCATTGATCCTCCACTGGCGTACCATGGTGATCTTCCGACGTAGCTCCATCTCAGCGGCAGCTTGCACCCGCTGCTTGATTCTGTTTTGTTTTTCGAGCGCTCGGGCCGCGCGTTCTTTGCGCTGTTTCTTGTTGAACTCGGCTAGGTAAATCAGGTGTTGTTGCACTTTTTTCTCTTGTTCTTTTGCTCTAAAACCATTAAGTGGTTATTTTTTTTTTTTGTAAATGTACCTACATTATATAAACTGCTTTATCCTGGACTCGATACGCCTATAAGATAAGATGAATACGCCAAAGGTATAGTAAGGAAGGCGATAAAATGAGTTAATATAGAGACTAAATATGACGCAGAAAGTATGGGTCTTTTTTAAATAGTATTTATATGAAGGTAAGTAGAGTAAGTATAAGTAAGGAAAGATAGGATAAATTGTTAATTCAAATATATACTTTTTAGCAAATTTTATTTTTTGTCCTCGATATAGATTAACTGATAACAAAAAGAAATCAGTTCAATTACTACCTATATATTTTAATATGACTCATGCTCTCATATTAAAATCTGGCGTTCCAGAAGCTTCTCTATTATCTAAATTCTTTTATTGACATTAAATATGGACAAAATGATTATGATTGCTATATTTAGGTATTATTTTGTACTTATAAGCTGTCCGAAGTACTGCTATTTAAAGGCAAAAACATTCAGAAAATATCTAATAAAATATCTAATAATACCGTATTTCTTGGCAAAAGCCACCGTTTGCGGTTACCGGTATTATGCAGCATTTGTAAAATGTCGACTTTTCACCCTGTATCGACCCTGAAAGTCAAAGGGGCAACACACTCCTTAATTAAAGAAACACGAGACGGCGCAAAGCGTCTATGTACGATTTCCATATGCTGCCATTTACTCATATATACGATTTAACTTTAAGGTCAGGTTGTAGTTAAATAAGGTTTTTTATATCTGAAAGAATGTTATATAAAAAAGTGGAAAATAGGATTTTCAAAGACAACGGTAACGTTGTAAATTATGATAATTATAAAATAAATTTCATCTTAAAATATTTATTTTGACCATGTAATTATAAACCAATTGATAAACGCGCACATGAAGCTAAAAAAAAAATTTTTTATTTGCCTAATCTTACATTGAAAATGCTATACTGAAAATAATATTAATGAAAAATGCTAAAAAAATCCAAATTGTCCCTGGCACTAAGGTAACAAGTATTTCAAAAATCCTCGAAATATAACTTAACTTACTCAATGTTAAATTTTATCATTATAACACTATTTAGAATAAGGAATGCGAATTTTTTATAAAGCCAATTATTGCAATTAATTTCAGATACAGTTTTTGCATCTTCTTATATCTCTGCTCACTTGTTCAATATTAATAAAATGTTTCTTTTGCGTAATTATGTTGGTATATATGATATTTACTATTGACTATTGATATAACTTCAAATAAACAAAATTAACATAATAAAAAATCATGTTACATATTACAAAAAATAAAAAAATATAATCGACATTACCGATTACAATTTTCAAATTCAGAACAGATCATTCATTAGAGCTTGAAGTCATCGTTAAACCTTAATGGACGGTAGAGCGACTGGCCGTCTGCCTCGTAATCATAACTTGTTTTGTGACTATGTTGTCAGAGAAATCTTTATTGTCTCTTAGCATTAAATTGATCTTGTTCCCTTATTGGATCTTTAGATAATCTACTAAGATGCCTTGATTAAATTTAACTAGTAATATGCATGCTCACCTAAGCCATTCAGAGCCGCAGGTGCGTAGACTACTCATATAACTAATTACCGAGCTATGCATGACAAGGCATTTTATATATGTCTAGATAGAAATCACCCCCGCACCGCGTGTCCACACACATTTCTGTGGTTCGTTTTCATTGGTTTCTAGACTAACTAGCTCTTTTTCCGCTACTTCACTCGCGTAAGTTAGTCTATGTAAAACATATAATGCAGCGTAGGTCAAAAATTATTTTAAAATCGGTCCAATAGTTTCGGAGCCTATTCATTCAATCAAATCTTTCCTCTTTATAATTATATATAGATATAGTGATAGCAAAATGAAAAATATTATATGTAAATGTCTATTGCGTATTCTAGCTTCCATTTAATTATTAAATGCAGAATTTGTAAGTACAGTAATGGTAACAGAAATATTTCAAATGGTCTTGTAAATAGTGATGTCGATTTGGATATGAAATGAAGCTATTACAAAAAAAATAAGTTTACATATTAAGTAAAAATATTAAAGCACCTAGGTGAATTTATTCAGCATAATCTAACCCAAAAATAATTATTTTCTTAAAATTCGTTACACGTTCAATAATAAAATACAGAAAAATGAAAATTATTCAGTTTGTGTCCAAAGATTTGGGCTTCATCTCGGAGTTTTGTTTACATAAAGAAGCAAGAACCAATTTTCTCGTCCCAACAGCCGCCCAAAAATTACTCTGCCAACCCATTTCTCATTGGGATAATAAAAAATATTGTTAAAGAAAGTCAACAGTGAGTCCTTCGCTAATAGTCTGGGACGTAATTGAGAAATTTATTTGTTAGCGAGGTGCTGTTCAAGCAAATTTGTTGCGTGAGAACTAAATGAAAATAAAGTGTCCCATTAATCAGTCTGTTCACGGTTCGTTCGTACCTATACAGCTTGTTAAGCTTAATGCTACAGTTTAAGGAGCTTTAGGTTCATTTATTATGTAAAATTTTCTCTTGCGTCTAATTTTCACATCATCACCTTTACAATGAAAGATGAATATATTTCATTTCAAAAATAAGCTGCCATATTTTCTCTAAACATCATTCTTGAAACTTTATACCATAGTAAATCGAATTCTAAGCAACAACATCTTTTTATTGTGACTTAAAATAATTCATTTTATAACCATCTGTTTATTCAAATACAATTAACTTTCCGATTTATAAAACATCTGTGAAATCTTTTGGTCCCAATCGTCTTTCAAACTTGGAGAGTTGTAAATAATTTACGCATAAATATCTTCTATAGTGTTGTTAGTAAACGAAAGGAATTGTGAATATTGTTTATTATGCTTAAAATCGCTTCAAAATTTTGCCTCGTTAAGGTTTCCCTATTGTCCAGTATTCAATTATGTAGGTCGGTAGGTTGTTAGTGTTAGTGACAACTCGTGCAAGGTAATTGAATCTGTTACTGCACTTCTGAGCAGGCGATCGATACAGCTTCTCTCTTAAGCATGATTGATTTAAAATATGAATTGTCAGTTATAAAGCTTTTTACAAACATTGAAAACAAATGAGATCACTAAAGTTTTCATAAGGCTGTTAATGTTTTGCTATTTCTGTATCATTATTTATATTTGGACAGCATATAAACGACTTAATCCATATTAATATTACAAATGCGAAAGTATCTCCGTTTGTGAGTGTCTTTTACGCTTTCACGCTAAAACTACTGAACCAATTTTAATGAAATTAAGAAAGGGCATACTAATCATTGTAGTTGAAGCGCTATTGACTTTCTACAATTACTTTTATTTAGCAGAACTGCCATACTGATCATCCATACCTACCGTGTGCAAGATTGAACGTTAAATCATATTTCTGTATTCTGACGTACCGTCATTGAGCGGATAGAGGCTCTAATTTATATCAAGTACTGATTACGAATTGGATTTATATTTAAATTAGTTATTGGACAATATCACACACATTACTCAGATCCAAAGTTAAGTAGCTAAAGCATTTGTATTGAAAGAGACTTGTGGCTAAAGTACATATTTGTAATTTTGATAATTAGTACTGCGCTCTACAAATATATAATAGACAAGGAAAGTATGATTAGAAAGTAGATGATAATATTTTCTATAATACGCCATCGGTAATTAAGAATTACAATAAAAGATTAACAAGACGTGCACTTGAGCACGGAGGGACTCTTGTTACAAGAAATTTATATGCCTACGTACGTACTAAACATAACTGCAATTCTCAAATACTACCTTCTTCAAATTAAGGGTCCGCTCCTTAATAGATACCTTGCTAAGTGAACATCCATTAATTCAGCAATTAAATTAGAGAAGAGAATTTCTGCGCAGATCACATTAGCAGCTGTCATAATTATTTGAGTCGACAATCTAAGCATAAAAGTCAAGTGACAGTGAGTTGAAATCAGAGCGAATCACTCTGAGTGATGAGATTGTTTTACGTTAACACATCAGATAATGTCGTTAAACTAATGACAATTTTAATGGACATCTGTGAAACTCGGTTTACATACACTCAATAGTGATGACGATTGGCTAAAAAAAGAACCACCATCTAGTGACGGGTAGACGAAACATTGCGTCGCTGCGCTCCGTAACAGTATGATTGATCTGTCAAAATGAAACTTAATGATCTGTCAGGTTGTCAGTAGACCAATCAGAACAAATCTTGGATTGGATCTCGGATTGGTCAGCTTTAGATATATGTTACGTTCATATGATGCACCTACGGGTAGCTACATCATATGCGGTATGAATATGAATTGATACCCAAATAAACAGTTCCTTGGAGACGAAGCAGCTTCGCGCTTGGGGAAAGCTAGTATTTAATATTTTTAGTGTTATTATATTATTATTATATAAAAATATGAATATCACTAAAAAGCATGAAATAAACACTTTAAAAAATGTAGAATCGACTTTAAATTTGAAAAGTAATAAATAATACTTAAAATATCAAAAGCGACTTATTCAAGAAAAGGTTTTTAAGTCTGGCACCCATCATTTAATTTACATACCGAAAAAAGACCTCCGCCCGACTTCAATAGCGTTTTGTTGAACAAGTCGCATTTGATATAAGTATTATTAACATTGTTTAGTTTCAAGTAGGTTCTATTTTTTTAAGTTTTTATCCTGTTTACTATAAATTAAGAAGTATACTTACAGTCTCTTTTTCTCCGCCCATTCGTCGGCATGTTCCTGAGCCGCTTTCTCCAGGTGTTCTCGAGCTCTCTCCGCTTTGGTGAAGATCTGCAGTCGTCGTGCGACGTCCACCTCCACACGTTTCAAGGTCAAGTCGTCTCGAGCACGTTCGTCCTTTAGATAAACGTTTATTATATTGTTTTAGCGATATTGTGATCAAAGTCATCGATTTATTTTATTTTTTATAAAAATCGGTATATTAAGACTGGGTCTAAAAAACAAAAAAAAAAAGAGATGGGACAGGATTGGCGTTTGCGTCTGAGAAATATTTTTAATTTATTAAAGTCTAAATTGAAAACGCAATCGTATTAAAGCTCTCCGTAAATCTCTAGGATACGAAGTGACTTGAATACTTAACAATTATTCCTATAATAAAAAATAGCAAGAAAAACATGGTGGATTTTTGAAATATTTATCTTTTGTATCGTTCTGTGTCCTTAATACATGATGTCGTTTTTCAACATTTCAGCTTTTTTATATGCCTTATATTTTAAGAACATTGTCCTATTTACAAAATAAGTATCTACTGTCGCGGAGAGCCAGAAAATGTTTCAACAGTCAATTTTACTTTCCCACTAGTAAGATTTCCATAAACAATAAACGAGACCTATAGCTTACCAGTTTCTTCATCTCTTGATGTATTCTATCCATAAACTGATTGTACAGATACTTTCTGTACTGATTGAATTCTTTAAGAGAGCACACAGCTCTACCATCTTTAGTACAAAAGCCGAGCTCCTTCATTCTGTTTCTGACTGACTTTTGCGCGAAATGATGTGCCAGGTGGGGATCGTGCATTGGCACATAGTCGTATGAGACGTTGTTACAGTAAGGATCGGTCAGATCAAATGTTGGTTGAGGACCAGTACCACCGAGCCCTACTCTCCTGACCTGTAAAGACAACGAAAAATTATTCTGTGCAGAGTATCTGCGAATGTATACTTTCGAAAACATCATCTTTGGATAAATGATTGATATCTATTATCTCTATTATATTCTGTGATTTAGAAGTTTTTAATAGTCTTTATCCAAGACGTATTTGCAACCCATCCAAAAGAGTAAGTTAAGATATGTTATCCCTCCACTTTTTACCTATTCGTAATACATTAACTGTGTCTCCATTTAGGGAAACAGGTTCAACTTGAACATGATTTAGATTCTAAAATATATAGGAAACTACCGTTATTTTCATGTCATACTATGAATTAAAGTCTATAAATCGAACGTTTGTCATTGTCAGTCTTTTCTAACCTTTTGAAGGTAGTTATTCCTATGTCAACATAATTGTTTTATTTCGTTTTAAATTATATTCGACATAGATATATCTTTATTATTATTTGAAAGAAAGGTGACATCGGGTGAAATGAGTCTTCTACGGCTTACACATCTTTCTAGTATCGCTGATATATCAGTTGAGTCATGACGTCCGGTTTTCTTTTTATATTGGACAAGTGGAAACAATACAATAACCAATACAATAAAACCTACAAAAGTAAAAAAAACATATCCTTTGCAACTTGCAAATGTAACGTGAAGTACATTTCCTACAATCACAATGTTTCTGGATATTGTTGAGTTACATAGATCTCCAGCTTAAATAAACACATATATAAGTCCTGAAGTTGAGTAAAAAAACATTTAGCTTAACCTAGCGAGATCAGTTCACTCACAGAATTTTGTTTTTCTATAAAATAAATTCAGTTGGTGTAAGAAAATACTAATATACCTTCCCCATTTGGTAATTATGTTCACATCTGTCAGCCGTCCTTGCAATAGACCCTCATTTACATACAACTGCTGCCTCACAATCAGAACAGATATTAAAACTTATATTAGACAGTTACACTGCGAATGAACGTGCCTTCTCATAAACATATTTCTTAATGGCTAAATCTTGGTTGTAGAATTTATGAGTGTATGTTTTAGTGTCTTATGTAACTTTTGCAAGCGTCGCTTATTATATGGGTTACCAGACATTTATTATTTCGGACATCTTCGTGTTTCGGAGGGCACATTAAGCCATTGGTCTCGGTTGTATCTGCAGATGTTAGCACCCACCAACCCTCACTGGGTGTGCGTGGTGTATTATGTCGTCTCTCTGTTTGATACTCTACTTATCTTGAAATCTGAGCAATGTATGTGTGTTTAATATTTATTCTTTATTATAGGGAAACCCTATACGCCACCTGCGTGGACATTAATGACGATGAAATCGAGGTGGGAAAAGTACCAAATCATAAAATCCTAGATACGAGTACATTAAATTCCTTTGATACGAGTACATTTACTCATGGATATGTATAATATGATTGAGCTCACTGCTCATGGTATTGGTAGGTATTATAATTTAACGGTGGATCGTAAATTGCAGTGTATATCCAATACGCGCTCCATAAGCCGACTAATAACTCTTCGTCCTAATAATTGATATGAGCATGTGGTCCCCCGTCGAGAAAGCAATTTGATCTAATATGTTTTCCAAGATGAATTAGGATTTAACAACATTATAGACATGCAGTCTTTGGATTTATTAAAATGTGATGATAAAGGCAATTATTTGGAAGTCTTCCATTTTTAACTCCTAATAGCGTTACAGATAAAGTTATAATTTGTAGATATGCTCACACCCATATTAAATTGTGTCAACTAGAGAGAATGTAAAACTAGGGCAAAATCATAATTGTCTAATTCTAAAATCTATTGCAATAATCCCTTGCAATTTCAAAATTGAAATATATTCACGAACTTCACGCTTCAACCATTTGACAAGTGATAGCAATTGCGACAGCGATGTTTTTTGAAAGTTATCGAATAATGATATCCTTAATTTTGTGACCACTTAGACTTTTGTGTAAGAGATCTTTCATGAAGAAACTGAAGGAAGAGTATCTACAGAGGCAAAAATTAGGCCTAGTAAATGTTTATTAAGACTTTCTATTTCGTATTGAGTGTATTAATATTTATCTATTATTGTTTATATTGATTACATTAAATTATTTATATAATACTTTGGAATTACACTGTACTCTCACTCCACATTTACTTTGATTTTTCGCTAGCGACCAAACGGCGACTAGGGTACAGCTGAAAATCAGTGTCTGTTTCATATATGGAACATCCAACACTGAGCTGTATACCTCTTGGGCTACTGCTTCACACTCTAGTTCGGTGATATAAATCGTTGTCTTTTGTAATTTTAATGTTTCTATACACCAACTAAGTATTTTACAACAACTTATAATGTAGTGATAGTAGTGGTTCAATAAAGCATTTATCTATCTATCTATCTATCTAATTGAAGTCGTTTCAACATTCGAATCATCGTTCGTTCCGATAGGGATTTTGACTTTAAACGTTACATAATTCGCTTAATCGCATGTATATTCGATATACCTTTGAAAAGTATTGGCGATAGATTATGAAATTAGACAATAAGGCCACTGGATTTCATTAATATTTGAGATTAAAAACGAACACGAAGCGAGTTCATTTCCTAACACTTCCTTTCATTATAACACGATCTTTGTTTGAAAAGCGTATAGTATGCATTTTACAAGCTTTTATATAAACTTTTATCTTGCAAGCTATCCATTACTTGGAAATTAATAGAGCTACAATTTTGGATGTATATTTAATTATTTTGGATACCAATGCAATATTAACATGGTACTGATTTGATAATGGAGCCAGAAGGAAGCCATGGGACCTCTGTATATAACAAAGCATCGAGTTTGGGTTCGTATAATTCTTCTTGACGAAGACTTTGGTCCGAGATAATATTATCGGATGATAGATTTGGAAGATAGAAATCGAAACTTTGTAATTAAATAACGCTCTCTGGTACAAGAACTCTGATCTAAGATAATGATGATCATTCAAAGCAAAAAATCACAATTTTGATTTCGTTGATTAATTTTATGGTAAGGTAATTTAGTGTCAAGCGATAACCAACAACTATATTTAAGTCAATTTAAATCTACCATTAAATATACTAAGGGACAATGGAAGGCCACATTAACGAATTAACAATTGTTCTTAGTTAATTTACGGGTTAAATGAAAGCAACTTATTATTAAGTAACGCTTTGTTTTATTGTGTAAATTGTTTCTTTTTATTGTAGATGTCATCACTGCTAATTAAATATTACTTTTGTTAAGCTCTTCCAAATGGCCTTGCAAGAAATGGGGCTCCATGCAAGGCCAATATTATAAATCAGTCCTTCAACTTAAAAACTAGAGTTCTGAAAATCAAAATATCCTCTTTTTCTAAAACTACATATAAAGTTCTTTCATTTAAACGGACCACTAATTGCTTAACATATTATAATTTTCTTTACAAAACTCACCAAAATTCCCTCAACACCATCGTTAAACTAAGAATATATTCATGTAATTATTTAAAAATTATAGTATTCAGTATTAGATCGCTAACAAATAAGTTGCTAATGCGTTTTAGAATAAAATTATAAAAAACATTGACACCTATAGCAGCCTTCTAATGGATCCGTTCTTTCCAAGGCCAAAATGTTCTTAAGATTACCAAACTAACAATTATTATCTATTACAATCTATATTAATATTATAAAAGGGAATGATTTGATTTTTTGTTTGTTTGGATCGCATCATCTGTTCACTTATTGTAGATAAATTTTTTATTCAATTAATTTAAAATAATAATGAAATAATCAGTAACATTTGATTGTTTTTTTTGTTTACCTCGATAACGCTCCAAAACTGTGGGCCGATTTACAAAAATATTTTTCATTTCACGTTGGTGTCCTTTACACGAAATGAGACAACAACAAAAATATATAAGATAATTTTGAGGTAATAGGTAAAACCAAAAATAAAGTTATAAAGCGACTTCAAGCAAACAAGATAACTAACAGAGTTATAAAACAACGAATCTTAATTTACATCTCACAGTCGTTATGAGGATTACTTACGTTAAAATGGATTGTAAATATTATAATTAAAAATTTTAAGCGCGGAGCGTCGTTGACGTCACAATCAGATTAGTTTATCGAGGTAAAACTTAAATAATTGTATTGTTTAATGTATTAAAATACCTTGTTTGTCTGAACATAGAATTCCACTTTATTTATATTCCGAATATAGACGAGAGAGACTTAGCCTCTAGGTCTAGGTCATATTGACTTTTCAACCTTGACCGCTATGAAGGAAATATTTCAATTTATTGATTAATGAAATCGTGTATAATTTAATAGAATATAATTTCTGCATATGTGTTACGAGTTCGGGATAAAAATCTTAACGCCAAAAAAATTATTTACTTAATAAAATCAGAAAACTAAACTTCACTATTCTCTAGGGAAATATTTATTCGGATAAAATGTCAGCTAATACCCCATCTGTATACCAAATTTTATCAAAATCTGTTCCGTGACAGACAAAGAAACTTTCAAATGTAATTGCCTTTATGATATTAATAGGATCTATTATGCTATTTACTGAAAGGACTACCAATAATATATTGCAATGATATATTTTAATATAATATCATTGACTACCCGACTCTGGGACGGGTAGTCCTTTCAGTGACCGCGCAGTCACCGCGTATTTACCTCGTGTGTTAGTAAGTTTTGAGACAGACTTTTTACTGAAATAATAAAATAAAATGTTGCTGTTTATTATTTTCTACCGATTTTGAATTTGGAATGTTAACTTTAAGTTTATTTGTATCGCAAATTAATTTGTTTATATTTTCTCGTGATGGAGGGAACGAAACAATTACGTGCAAATATCATTTCGCTATTTAAGGCGGGAAAAAAAGATGCAGATTTTTTTCGAGCTAAAAGTTTTCCTGTAAGCCGTAACTTCGTCTATCACACAATACAGCGGTACAAAGAGAGAAGCTCTCTACAAGATCGC